CCTTGGAAAAGTTTCCCTGTGCAAGCATCGACAAGTACTCAAAGGTGCCATAGAGAGCACCCCTCTCGTTTTGTCCAAGGATTTGAACGTTTCTCCCCTTGGTATCGAGCCAAAAGCCATCTTCTTCCAGTTCGGGTACATCTTTCACATCGCCACAGATTTCCCGATATTGATGAACCGTGCCAACAACAACCGAGGAGGATGTCTTGCACTTGTTGTGTGTGACTTGCACACTCTTCCCATAAACACCTTTGAGACCACTCTGCAACTCTGTCCCCGCGATATATACCGGACTTGTCTCAGTCGCATTGAGAGTGACGATACTCGAAGGGAGGTTGGAATGACATTGGCCTGAACAGGGCAGAGATGCGTACCGCAGCCAGCCGTTGAGGCCGTTCTCAGCGGCTACAACGCCCAAGGAAGCGAAGAAGAGAAGCGCACGCATTGTAGCCACAGATTCTGGTGCGGGGGAACATATATCTAATCACCCATTGCAGATCAAGTTCCCCCTTTTATATGGAACTGGCTGCGAACATCGGGAGACTCGCCGATGGCACATAATTGTCGGAAAAACTTCAGGCTAAATAAGTATTCCGTCAAAGCTAAGTAATACAGGCTATATGTACTTATACTCTTTCCCCGCAAAGATTGCGGAGTCGTGTGGGGGTTGTTTTGGCATGCCCATAAAGGCTGAATTTCTTCACTCCTAATGCTCACCCACTAAGTAGGGTTTTAGCTAGGTTCTACCTCGGAGACTCGAAAAGAAAAAGAAGACCCAATCGAGAAGAAGATGTGTGGACACCTTGTATATGAAGGGAATCTAGGATTCACGTTGGGATTTCGGGTCTGTGAACTCAGATTGTCAATCTATTCGAGTTATACCCAAGCCACAAGGCTTTTCATGATAATCTACAATGCTGTTGGTCACTGGGTGTAGCTTGAGGCTAGTAGGTAACCAACCATGAAATAGAGATCATCAGCGGAACGAAGCCAAGCCTCAAGTTGGATAGGAACGGGAGGACTCTTAATAATGGAATGCATTCTATGTGTTACATTTTAGGCTATTCTACGAAATGGCGGACATCGTCCGAAGACGATCCCATTTAACAAAGTGGTGAAGTATCTTGGCACGCTTATGTAGAATACGCCTAGTTTAGAAGACCCGTAATTCATCGTTATTCGTGGAAAAATTTTGTTCAAGAATGGTTCAATATTCTATTTTTGTTTATGGCTCGCAACAGGGCGACACGCTTAAGCCTCACGGCTCAGGATGTCGGAGTCACCGGCATCGAGGATGGCCATGGCGGAGCAGCGGAAGAGCTTACCGCAAGCGGTACCGAGCTCAATCTATAGGGCGAGTTAGTCCAATTCGCTCTCCGGGATGCCTTGCGGTGATCCCTTCGCTGAGCAACTTCACTCTCCGAAGTGGTAGTTTTGACCGACTTCTTCTCCGAGTAGTGTAGCTGATCCAAGGTGCGACAGCCAGTTTTTCAGGCTGCCGACCCGAAGGAAAGGGGAATGGAACGTACGTTGTTGCCGTTGAAGTGGTGAACGGGGGTCTTGGCGAGCATGGCGTAGTACTCAAGCTCGGACTTGCGCAGAGGAGGGCAGTTTCCGGAGATGAGGACGAGCTTGGCCTTGCCAGAGCGGAGAGTCTTCATGGTGGACTTGGTACCCATGGTAACTGAGAGAAGTTGTTAGCGAATTGCTCATTTGTGCGATCGAAACGACCTGCTTACCCTTGCCAGACTTCATCACAAGCGCCAGGCGCGAGGAGAGGGTGTCACCGGACTTCTTAGTCTTGACCATTTTGAATTTTTTGAGGGGTTGGCTCGTAAGAAGGTTTGTTGGATGGTTGGCTACAGAACAAAAAGAATTCGCACAGATAAAAAAAAGGTCAAGTGTGGAGCGAGCCCTAGCCCCACGTGACATGTTACACGTGACTACTCACCGCTTTACTTTTCTGCCAGCGGGACCGGAGGCTGCGGGGTTTTTGACTCACTCGATTTTGTTACTACAAGTACACCCTCTTTTCAATTTCCATTGCTTGTTTTTTTCTTCATTTTGCAAATTTGCCTAGTTTTGTTTTAAATATTTCTACAATGGCTGAAACCAGCAGTGCCCCTACTGCGCAATACCGTCAGTCTATCTCCCCCATTCTTACCTAATGAACGGCTACTAAATCCCGTAGAGAGAGTCGATTCGCAACCTGAGAACCCTTACGCTCAGTTGATTGAGGATCAATCGATTGCGATCATCCCTTCGTTCAAACTCGAATCCGGTGTCACCCTTTACAATGTCCCAGTCGCATACACCACACGTGGAACACTCGCTCCCAGTGGTGATAACGTGCTGGTGATTTGTCATGCTCTTAGTGGCAGTGCCGATGTCGCTGACTGGTGGGGTCCTCTTCTTGGTGGTCCTGGCCAAGCATTTGATGTCTCTCGGTTCTTCGTGATCTGCCTGAACAGTTTGGGTAGCCCATACGGAAGTGCAAGTGCTGTAACCTACAAGGATGGTAAGCCTGAAAATGGCTACTATGGACCCGAGTTCCCCTTAACGACTGTCCGTGATGATGTCAACATCCACAAACTTGTCCTGGATGACCTCGGTGTGAAGCAGATTGCTGCGGTGGTCGGAGGATCCATGGGTGGAATGCTCACGTTGGAATACGCATTTTTCGGCAAAGATTATGTCCGAGCTATTGTGCCAATTGCGACTTCAGCACGCCATTCCGCATGGTGCATCAGCTGGGGCGAGGCACAGCGGCAGAGCATCTACAGTGACCCGAAGTATGACGATGGTTACTATGCCTTTGACGACCCGCCATCCACCGGCCTCGGTGCGGCTCGCATGTCGGCCCTCCTCACTTACCGTAGCCGCAACTCCTTCGAGTCTCGGTTCGGTCGCAATGTACCGGATCCAACCAAGCCGCGAAACATCAACGGCACCGAGAAGCTCCCCACTCCCCCACCGAACGAGCACTGGGCCATCCACAACGACGGACACCGTGGTGGAACAACTTCACGCTCGGAGAGTAGACAAGGCTCACCGGCTGCTGTGAACGAGGCCGAGGTCCAGTTCATGGATCCGCAATTCTCTGGCACCAAGACATTTGCCCCAGAAGTCGACACAAAGCCCAAGCTGACTGCATCCGGCCGTCCTCGCCCACCGACCTACTTCTCTGCGCAGTCATATCTTCGTTACCAAGGTGATAAATTCGTGAAGCGATTCGATGCCAACTGTTACATCGCCATGACCCGCAAGCTCGATACGCACGACGTGTCCCGCCGCCGCGGCAATGCCAGCGCCGACTCTGAGGATACTGTCCTCGAGGCCCTCGGGTGCGTACAGCAGCCGGCTTTGGTTCTTGGCATCGAGTCCGATGGTCTGTTCACCTTTGCGGAGCAACAAGAGGTTGCCGCTGGCATCCCCGACTCTCGCCTCAAGCGCATCGATAGCCCCGAAGGCCACGACGCGTTCTTGCTTCAATTTGAGCAAGTTAACCGCCACATTGTCGAGTTCTTCCATGAAGTCCTGCCCGATATCATGGCCAAGTCCGGCGCTGATGGTGCGGCTGCTGTGGCCAGTGTTACTAAGCTGATGAAGAGCAGCACCTTCGGGGAGGCGGAGGTGGAGGATATCACCGCTTGGTAAAGCGTTGAAATCACCAAAAGTTATTGTCAGGCGCAGTTCTTTCTGCAGCCCATCCCATGCTCTAGTCTGGGTCCTGAATCCCGTGGAGGGGTCCGCGACCGGATAGATGTCATGGCGCATCAGGGGAAGTAGGTTGCCGTTCTTTTTTCCGTTCCGCCAGTCAGGGAGATGAGCATCCAACTGCCTCTCCCGTCTCTCACTTGGCCCTTTGTCCTTGTCCGAGAAGACTGTCAAAGAAGCATCCAACTGCTCTCCATCAGACCCACCCTCTGGGTCAATTTCTTCCGGGGGGAATACTCGCTCCACTGGAGGTGATGGGTCCGTATTCGGTATTGATAGCCATTGGTTATCTTTGCGACACGAATGTCGCAACGTTTAAATTAAAGAAAATAAATAGAAAAATCACATATCTGGATATCTGGACATAATATGTGTATTCATGCAGACCTCATAGGGTGGTAATCTGTATATCTAAGTCTCTATGCCCCTGCGTATGGTTAGTTAGGACTTTTTTAAGATAAGTTGGGCCGAGCTGAATGGTCAGGAACAAGATTAGGTGGCGGTGCTTGAAGGTGCGCTATTGAAACCATGTACTTACCTAGCTAGGTATGTTGTAGATAACTATGGAGTACTGTATTTTATTTCCTTATAATAAGACTTGTCTAGATGTTCCAAGGCGTCAAAGACCCCCAAAAGGGTCACCAAACACACACTAATGTACATGGGGCTAACTACAACAACACAGATGGGCGCTTAGACCCTAAACCTATTTAACTGAATAGCAGAATAGCAGAATAGCAGAATAGCTGAATAGCTGAATAGCTGGATAGGATTGGATAGGATTGGATACTATAATGTCTTGGATTTGGTGTTGGTTATCTCCTAGCCCTATCAGACTAGTTCTAGTAACCTGTTGTACTATGAATTATTAGGATTGTTTCAAGTACTTATCCTTTTTTTTTAATTATAATTATTATTATAATTATAATAACAATTATTATTTAATTAGCCCATATGCCCAGTCTCTTTAATGAGATTCTCTACATTCTTCTTCCCCCGCATACCAGACAGTTGTACCGACAACGCTTCTTTGAACCTTTTTCTTGATATTCACATAGTTAGGGAAATTAGGGAAATTAGGGAAATTAGGGAAATTAGGGAAATTAGGGAAAGAGGAAATTGCCCTGAACTTGAACTGCAGGTGCATTGGAGACAACTTGAATCAGCTCTTTCCTTTGTCGCTCTTTCCTCAGAACATCTCTTTCATCTTTTTTCCATCTTTCGATTCCTTCGTGAGACCTGAGACCATCGGAGCATAAACAAAGGACATACCTATTTCCGAGATGGAGCGCAAGCTATCAGAAAAAGCAATCAAAATACGCCACCGTCTGACCTTCACCAAAAGCAGCTCCGTGCGTGGCCTGGAATCAACACAGATCTCACCCATTGAAGCCCGTTTATCAAGCAGTCGTCCCCGGTCAGCTACCAATCCCGAGTCTCCCACCCATGACGAGCCAACGTGGGACACTAGGGACACCAGCGACACCAGCGACACCAGCGACACCAGCGACCCCGATCCCCTTCGGGGCTACAGTTTCACAGATGAGCCAGGTTACTTCCGCCCTGTATCGCCGTTTATCGACCGTCAAGAAATCGAGGAAGACCTCGAAGCGGATATCAAGCATGCATGTGCCTTACTATCTCACACAATTGACCGTGGCATTCCAGCCGGATTGTCCTATCGGAGCGCCATGCCACTCTTGACAGAGGGACAAAATCCCGCTGGTCAGCCTGGTGTCGATGTAGCTCCTTCATCTTTGACACAGAACGTCATTCCTCTGTCTGCGCCCAAACAAATCAAGCCCGAAACAGAAAGCACGAAGAGGTATGATTCCGGCGTTGATATGAGTTTCAATTCTCCTAGCCAACCAGATAGACCATACGACAACAGCGTATCGCGCAGAAATAGTTCAGCACGGTTCTATAACAAACAACCATCCGCTTCACCACCACACAGTGCCTCATCAGAATCCCGTCTCCGAAGCCAGAGTCTAGCAACAACGATCGAAGTAGATAACCTACGGGAGCGATCCTGCTCGTCAAGCCCGGTTCCATTCCCATACAGTCCTCCGCAATTCAACAGCGAGTGGCCATCCAAGCCAACGACACTGGATAGCCCAGTCAGCTCGCTCAACGAAATCGACACGAACACGAATACGAATGCGAACATCCCTGGCACATTCTCACCAGTCATATCCCCACAAGAAGCACCATCACTCGGCGGAGCAGGCAGAACCTGTATCCATACTAGCAGAGACATCCAACGCCCCACCGACGAAAAAGAACCGACAGCAACCCAAGCCAAAAAGCCAAAGCAAGTGGCCCGCTTCTACAGTTCCTGCAATCAAACAATAGGAGAATCCAACTCCCGCGAATGGCCGAATAATTTCCGGGATGATCGGAACCCAAGTATCTACAGCAAAGCCTCACTACCTTCATCGCTGGGCACTGGAAGGGGCACAATGTCGAGACCCGAAACAGGTAACTCGAAGTTGGGTCGTACATCGACGAATGAGGAAAATTCACCTGGCGGATACCCCCGTGGGGTGTCTCACTCGGCTTCTTATTTGGGGGATGAGTACAAGCACCAAGAGCGTGTTACCTCTGTTGCTATGGCCGGTGTGCCGGTTAAAAATAACCGGCGCAAGAAGGCTTCGAGTTTGTTGAGGAAGTTGACTGGGCTGGGGACGAAGGAGAATGACAATGAGAATGGAGTTTACTGATTGAAGCTGGTGGGTTGGGCGTTCGGATATGCATTACAGGGGATATGAACAATGGCCTTGATTCCTTTACCCTGGGCGTATTCGTATCCTTTGCTGGTTATAGATGTCTGTTATGTTCGATGTATATACCCTTTTACTGTTCCTCTTCTTTTACCATTTATCATATCTAGTATGTGGTTTCTGGGGTTTTTCATATGTTTTTATTATTGTTTGATTTTGCGACTTCATATCCAGCTACCTTTGCCATCGTCCACAGCCTGGCTTGGGATGTGAAGACAGTTAAAACACCACAATACAATTGTATGCAGTTCATAATAAAAATTAAAAATTCCATTCGGAATATCAAAAACCGTGTTGGACCAAAAATCCCGCATAAAAAACAACATCAATCATGAGACATGGTCCTATATAAATATCACAGCCCTACAGACCAAGCCAGAACCTCGTCTTGCCAACCTCAAACTCGCCACGTAGCTCTTCAGCCCCCGTACCCGTAACAAGAACCTGATACGTCCCCTTCTCCGAGATCCACTGCTCCCGCTCCTCATCCCACCAGCTCGTAGCCAACTTCTTCTCAACAACCAACTGCACAGTCTTACTCTCCCCCGGCTGCAAGAAAACCTTCTGGAAAGCCTTAAGCTCACGCAGAGGACGACCAACATCAGTCTTCGGAGGCACGATCCAGAGCTGCACGATCTCGGCGCCAGCAACAGAGCCCGTATTAGAGACAGTCACCGACGCAGTAACAGGCTCACCGGACTCAGTGTAACTTTTCTGTTCGGCAACAGTCTCGATGCGCAGATCGGAGCGCGCAAAACTCGTGTATGACAGACCATGTCCGAAAGCGAAGCCCGGCGCCACATCACTCTTCTCGAAGTACCGGTACCCAACGTAGACATCCTCGCCATACAGGACGCGGCCGCGCTCGGATCGGAAGTTCAGATACGAGGGGTTATCCTGCAGCCGGCGGGGGAAGGTGATCGGAAGCTTGGCGGAGGGGTTCACGTCGCCGTACAGGACGTCCGCGATACCGTTTCCACACTCGTTGCCGCCGAACCACGCTTGCACGAGGGCTTTTGTTTTGTCTGCCCACGGCATCGTGACCGGCGTGCCGGACTGAATCACCACAACTGCGTTCGGGTTCGCCTCCAGCACACGGCTGATCAACTCGTCGCTGCCTGGGGGTAGGTCCATGTGTTCGCGGTCGTGGCCTTCGGTCTCCCATTCCAGGGTCAGACCGGCGAAGATGACGACTTGGTCGGCGGTTTTGGCTTGCTCGACTGCGTTGGCGATTAGTTCTTCTTGGCTGACTTGTCGGCTGGCGCCGAAACGGAACCCGCCTGGACCGAAGGAGACAATTCCGCGTGTGTCGAGGTCTGAGGTTGGTGCGCTGCCGAACCGGAAGAGAACCTTGTAGGACTGGCCAGCCTTGAGCTCTTTAGTGCCGATCTCTTCGATGGTGGCTGTGCCGAAGAAGGCCGAGCCTTGCTTCTGGTTCTTCGTGTTGTCGACGACTACTTCGCCGTCGATGAGCAGTTGGCCTGTGCCCACGACTGTCACGCCGAAGTCGTAGACTCCGCTCTCCTCCGGTGTGAAGGTTCCTTCCATGTCGACGTAGTAAGTCATGGACTTGATCTTAGGGTTGACGTAATCCATCAGGAATCCGGAGGATTCGAGCAGATGCAACTCGTCCACGACCTGTCGGTCCTCGCCAGAGTTGGGGTGTTCGTTGTAGACCTTGAATGTTAAGCCGGGCTTTCCGTCTGCAGTCTTCAACTTTGGACCTAGCAGCGGCAGATCCTTGTGGGAGTACACGCCCTGGCTGTACTTGACTTCTCCCTTGGTCTTGGAAGAGACGCCATCGAACGGAGTGACAGTGTAGTATGGAGCCAGAGAGGCCGAACCACCACCGCAGTACGCAGCAATCTTAGCGTTGGGTCCAATGACCAGCAGAGACCCGTCTTTCTTGAGGGGAAGAATATCACCCTCATTCTTCATAAGCACGACAGACTCGGCAGCAGCGCGACGCAGCAGAGCCTGGTCTTCTGGTCGGTTGAGGGCCTTCTCAGGTGCTCCCTCGGGAATGCCCAGGGGGTCAACCCAGTTCACCAGGTTGAGGATATTGCGCACGCGTTCATCGAGCTGGTATTGGGCCACCTTGTTTGACGAGACAGCGTGCGCAAGAGCCTCACCACGCCAACGAGGCTTACCGGGCATCTCAATGTCAAGACCCGCGATGATGGCATCAGAGGTACTGTAGGTACCAAACCTACAAGTCAAAATGCAATGTAAGCCTCCTAATATCTAAAGCAGCTAGCAGAATGAAATCGATCACGAATACTCACCAGTCACTCATAACAAGACCTTCCCACCCCCACTCCTTGCGCAAGATATCATCAATAATAGCCTTATTCTCACTAACATGAGTTCCATTAACCTTATTATAAGCAGTCATAACACACTGCGAGCGACAAATCCGCATAGCCAACTGGAACGGCATCAAGTAAATCTCACGCAGAGCACGGTTAGTCAGAATACTGTTAACAGCCAATCGCTCGTGCTCCTGGTCATTGCAGACGAAGTGCTTAAGCGTAGCAGCAACGCCCTTATCCTGCATTGCCTTGCAGAAGTGACCGGCCAGCGTACCAGAGAGTACACCATCCTCCGAGAAGGACTCGAAGCCACGCCCGCCAAGCGGCGATCGCTGGGTATTGATCGTCGGACCTAGCACGACATGTGTGCCTTTTGCGATGGCTTCTTCGCCCATCAAGGCGCCGACTTCAGAGAGCAGCTCGGTATCCCAGGTTGCGCCGAGCGCTGTTGCGCATGGGAAGCATGCTGCTGGGATCCCGTTGAAGAAGCGAGTGCCACGGACGCCATTTGGGCCGTCGGACATACGTAGTGCGGGGATGTTTAGGCGTGAGACTGGTTCTGTGTGCCAAAAGTCACGACCTAGTGGGATGAGGTTAGTTTTTTGGGTGGTCATATTTTGGTAAATGGATGTCGGGTTTACCAGCTGTGAGGGCTACCTTCTCGCCGAGAGTGAGCTCCTCGATGGTTTTCTCAACGTCAATTCGAGCCATGATGAATGTAGTTTTCTTTTCTCTTTTTGGGTGTATATCAATTGCTCATACTCTTGCTCAACTGCTCTGAGACAAGAGTGAAGTTATTCAATATTTAGATTGAGATAAAATAGACAAGTAGTATAGTCAGTATATGAAAAGGAAAAGAAAATCATTAGAAGCAATAGAATCAATCCTTTTATACCTAGGGCTGGAGAGTCAGGTCTTTTCCCTTGGAATATATGAAGTGTCAGATTATGAAACCAACCCGTGTAGGCGGGGGAAGCTGTGGGTGAATGTCCAATGACGAGGGCTACATGAGATATCGAATTGGTTAAACAAATGATATCTCAAGATATCCAAGAGATAATCCACTTGCCCTCTCAATAGGTCACGGAGGTTGTTGCGACACCGAAGTTTGGCCGACAGGGCAAGGAGGGGCAGAGATGTCGGAGGTTCGGCCCGCTGTCCAGAGAGTAACGGAGACATACGGAGCAATGAAGTACAGAACATTCATCGATAGAAAGAAAAGGATTAAAAATAATTCTGCAAGATCCTTGAATATTGCATTTCTGTTACGTTCATTTAGAAAAGAAAAGAAGGGGAAAAAAAAGTACATGTAAAGAAGTGAAGTGGTTTGGCCCCAAACACCAGGCAAAATGCAAAGACAAGATAGGAAACAGTAGAAAGTCCAGTGTAGGGGGAAACTTGAGGTTCGTAGCGAAGAAAACATGAAAGGGGGAAATAGAAAAACAAAACAGCAAAGCTCCATCATTCCTTTTAATAGGGTATCATGGTAAATAGTGAAAATTACGCTCCTCGACGAGGACGCTTGTTGTCATTTCCCATTCTCATGCCACGTCCACCATCAGTGTTGTCGTCAGGACCCTGTCGACCACGCTTACGGTGCCCGGAGCCTCCAGAGCTGCTGCCACCCTCGCGCTGGTGATCCCGGTCACGTCGATCGCCACGGCGCTCACGCTCGCGGTCCCGATTGTCGGACCGGCCACCCCGGTCACCTGAGTTGAAACGACGCTCGTTACCTTCCGGCATGGGGGGAGGTGGAGGAGGAGGAGGTGGTGGCGGTGCATCCATGGAGGACGGAGGTCGCAAACGGCCTTCAGTATCATGAGTCTCATTGGTACTAGGGGTTGGTCCAGTCACTTCAGATGGTCCATCCGGGCGGTCACGTCGGTCTCGACGTCGCAGCTCTTCGCGTGAGCTCTGAACCCGACGCAGGGTCTCACGGGGCTCACCAGTGCCCTTTTCGTCACGGCTTCCACCTCCTACATCGCTTCGACGGCTACGTTCGCGATCATTTCGACGGCCATCGCGTCGATTGCGACCACTGCCGCTGCCATCACGACGCTCGGGCTCTTTCTCGCGAGTAGGCTCTGTTTCACGGCTGCGACCGCCAGTTGGTCCAGAGCGACCCGCCTCGGGAATGGCATCATCAATTAAGTCACCACCTCGGCCACCGCTGGGTCGGTTGCGGGATAGATCTTCTTGGGGTCCGGAAGGACCCATAGGGGGTCGGTTTGCAGGCTGAGACGATGGTGATTCCATGGTGTTTGGTGGACGGTTGGCGCCTCTTCCGCGAACAGGAGGAGGGTTCCCACCCCGATCACCACCGCCGCCACCACCAGACTGTTGGAGCATATTGTTGAGGCCTGCAAAACGTTTATCGCCGCGGCCACGCTCCCCGCCGAAGCCTTGTCCAAGCGGTCCAGACTGGGCAGACTGCGCAGAGGGTCCTCGGGGTGGTTGTTGTGGGCCTAATCCGCGAGGGCCTGAGGGAGCAGCGGCGGGTGCTGCAGGTTCATTGACAAGATTTCTAAGGCGATCTGGGTGAACCCCCGGGGCAGTGGTCGGGCCCGCGGGTTGTGTTGGGGGGCGGGTTGCTCGGGTACCCCACGCCCACTTTGTCGGGCAGGGCCTGTGGGTGTCTGGCGTTCCGGGGCGGGCAAAGTAGCATTGCTGGAGCTGAGCATTGGAGGGGCTTGTCCAGGACCGTTGCGTCCACCGCGTCTTCGAGGGCCAGCAGGAATCTCAGATGGAGGCTCCGGCTGCCGAAGCCGGCCATGAGTCATATCAGGACCTGGTGCACCGTCCCTCGGATCAGCTTGTCGATCCGTGCGAGGGCCCCTAGGGAGATCATCAATACGGGAGGATGGAGGGAATCCGGCAGGTCTGCGATCATCGGGTGGAGGGAATCGTTCGGGGCGGTTCGGCAGGTCCGCAGGTCTGGGTGGCGATAGAGGGCGTGGCGGATAGGCCCTCCGATCATCTTTCTCTGGTCTGGATTGATCTCCACGTCGAGGAATGTCGACCGGGCGGTCCATGTGATCAGGCATCAGCTCTCCCCGCACAGAGGGATCGCGGCCATGGAACGAATCATTGGGTCCGGTCCCACGCATGCGGCCAGGCCTATCCATAGGCCAACCATTCTCGCGAGTAGAACGAGCATCACGGGGTGGTCCACGCATAAGATCATCAGCTGGAGGTCTCATGGGGAAGTCGCGATCACGTTCATTAAGATGCTCGTTGAGACGTCCTCTAACATCGCCTAGAGAACCATCAAAGGAGCGATTATGATCAGGGCCACCATGACGACCGCGGGGTCCAAAGTCGGGATGTCTCTCTCGTCGATCATCCAATCCCTCAGGGCGCGGAGGCAGTCTTCCATCGCTGTGCCGTGGCGGGGGACGAACGGGGGGATGAACTTGTTGGCGAATATCAGGTCTTTTGGGAATATCAGGCTGACGGGATGAAGTGGGGGCACGAGAATGTGGCCGAGATTGCACAGAGGGGGTACACCGGACACAGCGTCTTGGCTGGTGTCCGCAGCGACCACGGAAGGCGTGGTAGACCCGGCCTGAGAGGTCGGCTTGGCTTCACCACCCTTCCCTGTACTGACATCGGTCATTTTCGCATCCTCGATTTCACCATCTTCAACTTCAGCCTTGCTAGGCTGTTCCTGTTTGGCATCGGAGCTAGAGATGGAAATGTTAGTCGTTGCGAGCAAGTCGAAATGGTCAAGGTCGTCACTTACATTGAGGATCCAGTGGGGTTGAACTCTGGGGCTGATGCATTCAAGGGTGTCGCAGCAGGTTGCGGGGTCCCGGGCTTTCCAGCTGCGTCAGCGGATGGGTGAGAACCAGGCTGAGCTGCCACAAAATAGAAAGCCTGTGGCAGCATCCACTTCTTCTCGCGCCGATTGAGGTCACCGATCAAAGACGCGGCAGGAATCTTCACATCGTCTCGCTCGTCGTTCTTGCTCAGGTGGTCAACGCTGTTCAAGATGTCGCGACCAATCCAGTTCACAGCAGGGAAATGTTTCACAACAGCCTTGAGCACGCTGATTGCGTTTCGAATGTGCATGTATTCGCCACTGCCGAGACAGCTCTTCAGCGCACTGGAAAACCAGCGGTGCCATTTGTACAATAGACGCCGGAAGTCTTCGAACTCCAAAAACATTGCTGGCACACCTCCGGAATCGACATTTTTGGCGAAGCCAGGGAGGTCTCTCTTAGCGCCGAATGCTTCTTTCTCGTAAACTGCCTTGTCGGCATGCCATCTAGTAAGATCACGCAAAATCTCATTCAAGAAACGACCGAGATTGTCCGCTTCTTTGGATGTGCATAAGAAGATGAGAGCAGTGAGTCTCTGCTCGCGGAAAAGCTGGTCAATGAGACCAACGGTCCGGAAATTAGGGGTCCCAGAGCTGTGTAGGAACTTCAACACCTTGAAGCAGAAAAATGCATCGAGAGGGGATAAAAGAAGCCTAGGAATGAAGCATTGCTCCAATAGGGCAACGTTGAGAGCGTCATGCTTGAGGCGCATACCGGCGAACCACTTGTCTTTCTCTTTCTGCAACCGAGCGCGTGTGTTCCCGTATGCCTTGAGATGATTCTTATTCTCATCAAGAATGCGCTCCTGTAGCTGAGTAACCTGACGCTTCAGGTTCTCCTTTCGTGTTGTGCCTGCCACACTAATATCAGATCGGTCACTGTTGATAGAGATGACTCGCCGCTTGAGCCTGTCGATTTCATCCTCGTAAGATTTCTGCGGGATATGAACATCGTAAAGGGAAAGCTGCCAGAAAGTCGCATAGAAATGGGCTCCAATTGTCTCCCATTTTTCGGCAGAAAGAGCAGTTTTGACATCGTCAATCAACTCTTGCATGACGGGGTTGGCTGCCAATGGTTCGGCATTGACCGCAGGAACAAGGATGGCATCGGGTCCTTCGACCGGAATCGTAATTTCTGTTTCGCCCTTATCGACATCCATGGCACTGTCTGCCGGACTCTCCTCGGACTTCGGAGGTGCTTCTCCATCCTCGGCAGTGTCCATCCTGTTGTCGCCGTTCGACTTTGGTGCAGATGCCGAACGTTCTTTCTCTTGCTTCGATTCTTCAACGTCATCGATTTTACGAGCGATGCTGGGCCGACGAATCCAGAAGGCGATTTCGGGCTGAATTCCAAACTCCGTGATGAGAGACGCAAAGTCTGGAACAAAGGAATCGAACTCATCAACCGAAAGATTGCTGCGAAGTAAATCAAGGTATTGGGTGAGAATTCGGTGGATCTCGTCAAAAACATTGCCGAGCAATTTAAGCTCCGAGGAAGTTTCATTGTAAACGCAAGTCAGTCGTTCTTGGGCAATGGCCACCAACAGCTGGCCAGCGAGTCTGGTGTGGGTCAACGATTTGACCAACCGTTTGGAGGTAGTCTTGGACTCGTGACGCTTGTCCAGTAGTTGCAAGATGGTCTGGGATTGGAGAACATCACCACCGGCCATGGCCTGGATTTGAGCGTCATTGAAGTCGTTGTCTGAGATGATACCAGCCATTGAGCTGATCAGTTGCTCTAACACAATGAGATCGGTCGAATTGTTGTGTCGCAGTTGCTCTACCACATACTGGAGGACTGGAGTAGGGTCCATCACCGAGTATCGTTTGTAAGTTCGGCCGGCGAATGTGGAGAGGGCGTTCAACCATCGACTAGTCAACAGTCCACCTTCCTGGACTCGACTTCGTCCTTTCTGGCCAAGCGAATTAATGAGAGACCAAGATAGGATGTCATAACCAAGATAGGTGAAATAGCGTGCGCATTCAACCACAACTTCGATGAGGTTTTCATACGACTCAATTTGGCTCATCGCGACATTAATAACAATTCCGGGATTAGCGTAAGCAATCTTGGCCAATGCGCGGGCCATGGGTCGGATGTTTGTCTTGCTGAGACGCTTGAGAGTGTCCTTGGTCTCCGCCCTCGCTTGGTCGAAGGCCTCCTTAATGTCTGGCAGCCGGGATGTCTGTCCCGAGTACCACTCTGCGTACATGTTGTATCGCACGTCTCGGGGGAAGAAGCTGACGAGATCAAAAACTTCATTGACCACGCCAGGATTTGCTTTTGTTAGGCTGACAGCCGGTAGAAGAAGACGCTTGCAAAGATCGCGCCAACGTGTTCTGTTCTCTTCGGATCCGTCTTGGAGCAAGCTCCCCTTTCCAATGCGTACAAGCTTCGCCAAGAGGCTCGCGTCTTGTCCAATCTTGTGACCAGAAAGGTTGAGGAAAGATGAGCAAAGAGCAAAAACATCGTCGACAGACTGACAAATGGGGATGTTATCGGCCCAGTCATCCCAGTAGAATCGATAGTCGGTGCCATCATTGGTGTCTTCTTTATCCAGTTGAGCCCATCGCAGAACTCGTCTGGCAGGTGGGGGTGTAAGTCCAATCTGGCCCTTCGCATTGTTCTGATCGGAGGTCACCATGTATTGAGCTCCGGGGAAGTCGCCGGTAGATGACAATGGTCGGAACTGGATGTAAACCTTGTTCAAAGAGTGATGGAGTATGCGGTGGATGAACTCGGGTAGCTCGGGGTAAGCCTCCATCAACCAGGGGAACTTGCTGATGACGAAAAGGGATTCGGGGATGGCACCAATGGCGAGGAGACTCTTGAGAAGCAGAACTTTCTGGTCTGATGGGTCCGGCAACTCGTTTTCCGTTTTGGGTGTGCCTTTGTTGGATTCTTGATCTTTACCAGGGGTCGCGGCTCGCGGCTCATCGCGCAAGCGGGAAGGAGGAACTGTGTCGTCCGACAAAGCGCCGGCCATCATCAGGGCGTTGATTCCGCCACCTGGTCGGCCAGCCTTCACTCTTTCAGCTTTCTCTGCCATCTTTTCGGTCTTTAAAATCTCCATGGTGTCGTCAGATCGCCAGAGGTGAGCATAAAGGTCACGCAGAGAGATAAAGCCAACTTTGATGAGCAGGGCAGCAAGGTAAATGAGATTATCAGGGAGAACATCGGCTTTGGTTCGAGCTGAAGAAGAATAGAATCGCAACTTGAAACCAAGCAGCTGTGCTGCAACCCGGTTGCCCTTCGGGGGTAGAGTGCCAGTCTCTTCAAGCCATGATCGTGTGGCATCTTCTTCAAAGGATGAACCATTGGTTTCTGAGAGACTCTGTTGCCTTTCCTCCTCTGAAATTGGTTTACGACCGATCTCGAAGAAGGCTTGAAGTCCGATTTCCCTCACTCGATCCCAGAATTGGCTATCGCGCTCTTCATTTGCGCGCATAGTAGCTGATCGCTCCTCCTCGGTTGTGATCCACCCCGTTGATCCAGGAAGTGCCCAGTTCGGAATGCCAGTGTGGCGACGGCCTTGCTCTAGGCTGTAGAAGGTGTCTTCCTTCGGCCACCAGGAGCTGACTCGCAGAAGCTTGACGAAGAAACGGTATTGCTTGACAAGAACCGCAGCAAACACATCCAGCGTGACGTCAAGCACACGGCCGACATCCATGTCAAATGCGCCAATCATAGCCTTAACTCTTTCAAATGTATCCTCAACCACTTCGCTCGACGGGGGCTCATTGTTGCTTGTGGTGAATAGCTCGGTGATGAGTTTCGAGTATCCCTCGGATTCTTCCCGGAGAAGATTGTAATTAGACTGTCGGTAGAGCTGGTTGGTCTGCTTGCGAATTCCCATTCGCGCAAAGGTTTCGCGAACCAACCCCAAGGCCTGCAACAACGGGGTTTCAAGCTGAAGGCGCATCAAAGCAGGATCGATACCTGTCGCGAATACAAGTGGTTTAAGGGCTGGGTTCGAGGTATCAGCATCAGTCACAATGGAAAGCGTATCGAGGAACAAGGAGCACGGGTCGATTCCCTGGGTCGAAGGCTTTCCACTGTCGCCCTCCATATCCACATCCTGGGACACAGATTCTTCGCCGATGATCTCTTTGACAGCATTTCCTGCATTCGATGGTGACAGTCGACCGTAGATCGCGGAACGAATAAGTTCCTGGTATACAGATGCAAGCCGAGCCAGATCCTGTTGCAGGCGGGCCGCAGCCCCTTCTTCGACTACCTTTTGCTTGCCCGCTGAAGCCCATTCCTCAACAGCATTGTCGGTCACATATTCGTAGTCATAAGGTGGGAGCGGGAGAGAGGGTGGGTGGGTGATAGTCTCTGAGCCAGCTCGAGACGGCGGGTTAGGTTGAGGCGGGTTAGGTTGAGGCTGTGAAGCAGGAGTATTCGGCGCAGGGGAAGGGGTAGGTCTCGCAGTGGCCGAGTCGCCATTATGCGGTACGGGCTCGGCAGGTTCCCTGGGCTGATTTATCGCGGGAGGAGACATGGCGTTCGCTTCTCTATGCTGCGAATTCGAAAAATTCTGACCATCATAGGATTCACGGCGGGAACCTGCCCGGCTGCGATGCGATTGTCGGCGAGATCTGTCACGTGTGTCGTTTTGCTCTCGGGGAGTGGGGGATTGGTGTCCGTGGTTGGTAGGGTGATGTGCCATGTTGAGTGTCCCAGGGCGATGGGGTGAAGGTCGGAGATCATTGCTCCCTGACTCGCCGGACCATGAGCGATCAATGCGTTTCCGCTTGCCACCATGCCCATACCCAGGCGCCATGATAGGTAGTCTGATTAGACGCGAGGGGTTATGACAGTGAAACGAGACGCTGAAAGGTTGCAACTCATGCAGTCGTTTCTGTAGGAAGCCGAAACAATGGATGTGAGTGCCCGCAGCAAATTAAGGGGAGTAAAGAAAGAAGGCAAATGACGCGCATAGCAAACATACCAGCAAGTATCGTTCGTTGAAAATAAACGGCGGAGTAGCTAAAGGCGTGCAAGGTGAAGATAAAAGATGCTGATGGTCAAAGCTCGGTTGGACCCAATATGCTGACGGGTGCCTGAGGTGTCAATGGTATATTCACCTATTCACTCTCATTTACTGACTCAATCAATTGTAATTTCTATTGTCCTTACTATTTTACTATTGATTGGGAAGTTCATTCATTCAATGTTATTGAACAACTAAGTAAGTCGTGAGGTAGCTGCGAGCACTGACCCTATCAACCGTCTCGCTGAAAGGGATATTATAACACGCTCTATAAATAAGAAAGGGATATAGGGTTGACTTTGTGAAGGACTTAATTATTAGAGACTTGTATATAATTATTCTATTTGTGATAACACCGTCCGTCTTAAAAAGGGGTTCAAGTTGATACTTAGACATTGACACATGAAATGAATCTACCTTCCCCTTTCGGATGTATATATTTCCCCACATTTCTATGAATTCAAGTCTCTGGGTGCCAGTACTGTATCTGTAGATGAGCTGGGAGCTCTATTCCTTGGAGAGAGACCTACATTACGTAAATTCGACCTCAGCAGGACATGCTACCTAGGTACCAAACGGATTTTGGGAGATAAAAGAGTTGATTGTTCTAAAAGCAACTAGCTGCCGTTTAGACTACCCAGATGGTCAGCTGACTAGTCAGCTGACCATAGTAGCTATCTAAGCATAACTAACTAAGAGATGTAACTGTAACTAACATCAGCATAACTACCTACCTAGGTAGTTAGGTAGTTCGATATTACGTAAGACAAATCACATGCCCAGGTGAAGGTGCCAGGGTGGGAAGTAGACACAAATTTGCACGTGAGACTACTGTATTAGCTCAGTGAATCCAGGTATAAATATCAATACGCATAGTCTGCTGGTTTGTTCTCTCTGGGGATGAAGTGCATATTCTGCAGAATTCCCCGGAGTGGAGCGGGATACATATTATGCTCTACTTTATACGCTAGCATATGGCTTGCATCCATCAAGATTCTTCTTTTACACTGCCAAGTCCATTCCGCCCCAACTTAATCCTCCGAGTCAAAAGCCCCAAATCATGTGCGCTTTGATAAGTTCATTTCATAAAGTGTGTTCTCATAAATTAAATGAATGACCCGAGTTTCACAGCAAGCCAAGAACTTTAGCCTCACCCTCAACAATCTCAGGAATAAGATCAATCAACTTAGGCTTCTGGGGCATCCAACCAAATAGCTTGCGCGCACGGATTGAGTGACCGCGAGAGTTAGAGCCCCAGGCATAGATTCCAGTAGGAAGTAGCTCAGTCGTCTGGGCACCATCCACAGACTCAACGTCAGGAGAAGCAATAAGCTTTTTATCAAAAGCAGACTGCGCAACTGCGCGCTGAATATCCCCCCATACAAAGGACCCATTCTCGGCGAGGTAGTAACCCTCGTTATTCCAAGTAGCCTTACCACCTCCCACCGAGGCTGCCTCACCCAGAGCCAAGTAGACATTGCTCAGATCCTGGACGTGGACCTGGTGCCAGACGTTCTCGCCTTTTCCAACCAGGAAGCCATGTTTACGCTTCAGCACTGCAGCGCTGAGCAAGTAGGCCTGAATACTCCTTATGTTACCAGGGCCACGGCCAGGACCGTAGATGGTAGGTGGGCATACGACTGCGACCTTCACACTGGCTGGGTTCTGTTGACCAACTCCGAGGATGATCTCATCCACGTTACGGTGGAAGGCGTCTGATGGAAGGTTGACCAGCTCATTGACGCCCTCCCAGTCGTTGTACTCCTTAGGGCGCTCAATGCCGTATGTGCCGGCGCGCTGGTCCTCGATTGTCAAGATACCCGTGCCGGAGGTATGAATCAGCCACAATGGACGCCCGGGAGTATGATGTTGAGCGCCCTTGGCAATGGCCTGGGCTGCCGCAACATGATCACAATCGGCAAAGTCTGTGTGTAGGTTAATTAGTAATGTGATATACTGAAACATGAGCCTAAATAACCATACGGAAGACAATGTCTGCATTCTTGACTTCTTCTTCCATCAGCTCGGACGAGTCTAGATCACCAATCACAGTCCGAATCTGCGGGTATTTGCTGGTGACCTGGGTGGCCTTTTCCTCGCTACGCACTAGGGCCGAGAATTGCCAGTCAGGGTGGGTGCTAGCGATGGCAAACAGACCATCGCCGCCGATGTAACCAGTTACGCCAGTCCTGTAGGATATTTATCAGATCCGATGTTCGGTTTACACTGAAGTGACTTACAGGAAAACCTTGGGAGTCATGCTGAAAGAATAAGGAGAAGGATATTGTCCAGGAAAGAGAAGAAAGCGAAGACAAGAAGGTGGGGGAAGTAAGTATTTGAAATCAAGAAGAGGACCAAGTGGGGAATGATGACGGGACGACGTTGTATAACTACACAACATAATTAGGTACATAACTAGTTATGTAACTAGTTAGTTATGTATTTTCCAATCGTACAAATTCTAAATAAACCTGACTAATGATGAAGGGACACGTCTATCATGTCCATTTTCGTAGATATATAGATGTAGAGTTGGTATCTTCATATCGAATCCCAATCACACAATTTCCACCCTTCTGGGCAATCCATCAATATCTACCTAGGTAGGTGTTGATAATGGCCTCAGGTAGCTGCGCTTGCCATTATATCAGTTACACGGCCTCCAATCCCCCAACCTCCCTGGTCAATTGTCATTGCACAACCTGCCGCAAACAAGCCGGCGCACCCTATCAATCCTGGGCATTCTTCGCGACTGAAGATATCCGATGGCACATCAACCCCACAGAACGCCGGGTAACCAACGGTGCTACGCGTACCTTCTGTCCTCAATGTGGTTCGACTCTAGGAATGCTCCAGCATGGTGATCCAAAGGGGATCGCAATCGCTGCGGGGACACTCGATGAAGGGGAAACACATATCCCACTGCCAAGCCATCATATCTTTCTTAGCGAGAAGGCGTCTTGGTTTGAATTACCCGAGGGGGATGGGGCAAAGAGGTGGGATAAATGGGGGGGATTATAACAAGTCGTAGCATTTGGTGTGACTTGATAGCATTCGAGGGGCCTCATGTTGGTGCGGGGAATAGTTAGATACCCACCATGGCATTTTGGAAAGTCGTATAAAACAATTGCAACCATCGATTTAAAACCATTGGATTCGCCAGAAGAAAAGATACTGATTGTTCATAGACTTAGATGACATAACAGCAGGACACGAAAAGGTTATAAGAGGAACAAAGGGGAATCACAAATCGTGCCGGGACTACATGTACAGACTCGATGCGTCCTAAAATACGATCAGAACGTGCTAGTGGCCAGTCGGCTGGCTGCATTGCGCGCATCAAGACGGTCATCGTCTTCCTCTGCGATCGACCCAACCTGACTAGAAGCTCGGTTGCGCCCTTTACTAGAGCCCTGGCCACTCGCCTCATCGTCGTCATCAGGGAGCGAGGGGGTAGTAAAGCTGCCACTCATGCTACGTCCAATATTGTCATTGCGGCGAGGAACACCGCTCCATGAGTCACCTTTGGGACCCTGACTCGAAGCCATATTTGGCCGGCGCGTCGCCGGGTGGGACTCGCGACCCAGCCGGCTCAGACCACCAGAAGCGTCAATGGCACGGATGTCGGGCCGAACACTCTCTAAGGTGGCCAGAGTACGACGCTCGGCTTCGATCTGGCGGAGAGTGTACTCACGTAGGCTAGATAGAAGATCCTGGGTGGTCCGGTCAAACCAGCGGCGCTTCTCTTGAAGAAGGTTTGTCGTGACACGCTGGGTCCGCTTGGTCAAGTAATCTTCATGGTTCTGAGCCTCCTCGAGAGCGTTGATCGCTTCATCTACCTTATCCGGGCGCACTGATGAGCTAACCTTCAAGCGGTCTGCCGCAGCACGTTTACTCCGCGCACTCTGCTGGGCCTGAAGTAGCTCACGTAGGAGAATATGGCGGTTGGTCAGGGTTTCCTTCACAATGAAAGCGTCGGAAGAGTGGTAACTCAACGGTTCGCCCAGCGTGGTAGCCTCTGCGGTGGCCTGAACAGCGTGATAGTCGCCAACAGTTTGAACAATCTTGCCAAGCTTACGGTAAGCGGCGCCCAAGCCGGGATGAGTCTCCTGTACGCTCATCTGACCAAGCTTCACGCCGAAATCGGCTTCAGCCAATCCAAGCCCTAAAACAGTTAGATTCAATGAGAACAATGTGCAACGAAAACAGCTGGAGTCTCCAATAACATACCACGACGGGCCTTGACAACTCGGTCGACCTTGTGGCTTGTATCCATTGATCCCAAGTAGAACATCTTTGCAGTTGGACGAGCAGCTTGCAACTCAGGTGTGTCATCTGGAGGCGGCGCGAACTGCTTCAACATCTTTCGTCGCACGCCGGTTGCCGGCTGCTTCATCCGCAGCACGGGGCTATAGCCAAAGTCGCTCTCCACGAACAACACAACCTCGTCGTCTTGGATGAGGACCTCATTGCTCAGCACAACATTGAGCCATCTCTGAATTGCTGATTTGATGCGAATCTCATCCTCCTCGGTGCCTGCACCGGCTGGTGTCACTGGCGATGGCACGGCAGGGACTAGGGCTTCCGGGTTGGCGGAGACGAGGTGGTCTGCGAGCTTCACGAATTCGGAATGGGTCCGACGCACATCACGGTACTGGGTCGTGCGGAACTTGGGAATATTGGTCTGGTTTCAAAGCAAGCAAGAATTAGCTACGGCATAAGCGCAACACAGTCGAAGGGGCAGACCTACGTGGACGTCGAAACGCAGGATTGGGTCCTTCTTGCCCGTCCTCTCCAGACCAGTGATTTTTGCTTGGATCTTATAGACAGGGGCCGGGGGCCGTGAGTCTTGTCGTGCTCCGGTCTGATATTGTGCGGGGGTAGCGAATTGCTGTTGGTGGACGATTGGAGATTGGTGCACACCGAATGGGGGATGCTCGGGATAGTCCGGGTCTCCTAATTGTGCGCTCTGCAGTTGCGCAGAGAGGTCTGGAGATTGGGGTTCCTCAATGTGGCCCCTGCCAGCATCCGCTGATTGCTCCTGGCCGGGTAAAGGGGAGGACGGGATGTCATTGTTGGAAGTGGGGAATGTGCCTCGCTCAGCACGCGGTGAGCCCCAGGGTGAAGCACCAGTGGGAAGATCTGGATCGGTAGAGATGGTAGAATAGTCCATCTTGGTTGAATGTCGATGTAAGGAGTATATTCGCTGACAAGGGGGAGTGGCTGGTCATGGTAGGCGTCAGTATTAAACGGCTGAAGATCAGACCCCCACAGCAACAGCCAGCTAGCTACAAGGCACTCAAAGACATACCTCGTGCAGCTTCAAACCGGGAGTATATCCGAGACTCGTTAAATTGGCATAACAAAGAGAGCAAACAAACAGCAAGGGTATGTATGAGCAGAACGATATGGGTAGTTGAAGAGAGGTAGAGTTAGTTACGTATGGAGGAATGCGTGCGCCAAGCCTCGCGATCACCAGTCCGCTTTGCGGTCCGACTTTCTTTGCTCTAGAGCTTGATCTTCTACTGTGTCAATGACAATAACATACAGTTCAATGCCAATTTCAACATAATTTCCCATATTTCTTTGTCCCATATTACATGAGCGCTTCCCTTTGGAATGGTCGTGGCTCCGTTGTTGCGCTTCCCCCCGGAGTGCGCTGTATGAGCTCCAACCTATATAAGACTCCGAGCAATATTACATGCAAAAATACATGCTCCTCCCTCAAAGGTCTTCGGTCCAATTACAGACATCTTCAACGCTTTTCTACGACATCTGCATGCCATGATGAAGCTCTGGACCGGACCCGGAACATCGGCATTATCGCCCACATCGATGCGGGCAAGACTACCACTACAGAGCGCATGTTATTCTACAGTGGCTTCACCCGGCGCATTGGTGATGTGGACGAAGGCTCAACAGTGACCGATTTCCTTCCCGCCGAGCGCGCACGAGGTATAACTATCCAGTCAGCCGCTATTACCTTCCATTGGCCTCCTGGAGAGGTAACTGGAGCGTCAGCCCCCCAGGCTGGAGCACAGAGTGAGCCCACTCCGCGGTCTGCCTACCCCCATACTATCAATTTGATTGATACCCCTGGCCACGCAGACTTTACATTCGAAGTCATGCGGTCTCTGCGCATCCTCGACGGCGCCGTGTGCATATTGGATGGTGTTGCTGGCGTCGAAGCACAGACGGAGAAGGTTTGGAATCAGGCAAGCGCATATCGAATTCCTCGAGTCATTTATGTGAATAAGCTAGATCGTGATGGAGCGGCATTTGGTAGAACAGTGCGAGAAGTCAGCACTCGCTTGAGTGTTTATCCAGCAGTCTGCCAGATACCGTGGTTCGATAGAGGCAACGGGCCCTTTATCGGAGTAGCAGATGCAATCCATCTCCAAGGACTACGTTGGAAGGAAGGCGAAGATGGCCGCACCGTGAAAGTGGCCGACCTTAAGCAATTAGAGGCCGAGGAGCCGGCCCTAGCCGCAGAGCTGCGGCGGGCACGAATTGCCTTGATCGAGCTGCTTAGTGAACATGACGAAGACATTGTTGAGAAATTCTTTGAATGCGAAGAAGATCATCTCGCGGTCTCGTCAGCCGATATCATCGAGAGCTTGCGCCGGTGCGTGTTGGACCAGACGAGTCGCATTGTCCCTCTATTTGCAGGTGCTAGTTTCCGGAACATGGGAGTCCAGCCGTTGTTAGATTCTATCGTGAATCTTCTCCCCAGTCCACCCGAAGCTCCAGACCCAGAAGTGAGCATTGGTGGTGTCAAAGGAGGTCTTCGAGGCCTACTGTCAGGGGACTTAATTGTGGAGCAGAGCGAAAAGGCGTCCGCGCCATCTAAAGGGAAACAACCAAAGAAAAAACATTTGGCCTTGCAGACCAGCTCAAAAGATGCGATCAGCAAGCTTCAAAGCTGCGCACTGGCATTCAAAGTGGTCAACGACGCAAAGCGCGGGGTCCTAGTCTACGTACGGGTATATTCCGGCTCCTTAGATCGCAACAGTCTTCTCTTCAACACAAACCTACAGCTCTCTGAGCGCGCCCCGCGTCTGCTGAAGATGTACGCCAACGATGCCGTGGAGGTGGACTCGATCCCTGCCGGGCACATCGGAGTCGTAGTTGGGCTCAAACAAACCCGAACAGGAGATACCCTCGTGTCCTACGCAGGGAACAAAGCCACTCCTCCGGAGCCACTTACCAGTCTCCAACTCCGACCAATTGCAGTTCCACCACCGGTATTCTTCACCAGTGTTGAGCCGCACAGTCTAAGCGAAGAGAAGCGCATGAAAGAATCACTCGCACTCCTCCTCCGTGAAGACCCCAGTCTCCACGTCAATATAGACGAAGAGTCAGGCCAGACGCTTCTAAGCGGTATGGGCGAGCTTCATCTCGAAATTGCCCGGGACCGACTAATCAACGATCTCAAAGCCAAAGCCACAATGGGCCGCATCGAGATCGGCTATCGAGAATCCGCACTCGGCACCTCTAGCTCAATAACCAAGATCTTCGACAAGGAGATCGCCGGGCGAAAGGGTAAAGCAGGCTGCACAGCAGTCGCAGAGCCACTGGACGAAGACCTCGAGTCCCCAGAGGTAGACCAAGACACGCTCCTCGTTGAAACCTACGACGGCAACCGGATAATCGTCCGCGCCCCCGGTCTCCAAGTTGACCGCTCCTCCCGCAGTGAAGAAGAAACCAGCCCATTCCTTCCACCAGGCATGGACCTCGTCGCATTCCGCACCGCGCTGCAAAACGGAGCCGTGGCGGCACTCGCCCGCGGCCCTCAATTCACCTTCCCAATGCATAATACCCGCGTCACACTAACTATCAACCCGTCCGTCGACCTGTTCGGCAACGAAACAACCACCTCAGCCCTCTCATCTGCTGCACGCCAAGCCACGGCTGCCGCGCTACAGGATGTGCAGTTTGGCGCGGGGACAGTAATGATGGAGCCGGTGATGAATGTGATTATTAGCATCGACGAGGCGAGTCTCGGCTCCGTCGTGCATGACATTTCGTCCTCCCGGGGTGGACATATCATCTCACTTGACGAGGAGGTACCGCTGTCAGGCACGGATGCGTCGTCAACTTCTGCATCCGCACTTGAGGACGAGGCGCTACCGCCCATTGATCACAGCCGTGTTTATGCGCCACCAGACCCGTTCGAGACGCCTTCTGTTGGCGTGCAGATCCCTGTTGCTGCGACTCGGCCGCGCACAATTATCGCAAAGGTGCCGCTTAAGGAGATGGTTGGATATCTCAAGCATTTGCGGAGTTTGACTGCTGGTCGGGGCACTTTCGTCATGAGTGTTGACCGGTTTGAGAAGATGTCTGGTCAGAGGCAAAAGGCCGTACTTGCGGAGCTGAGAGGAGGATTTTGATCGCTGACTCTTTGGTGTCAAGTCGGATTCAGCTAGGAATTTTCTTGTATATCATCACATCTCATAGTATCTCATCACTGTACCAATATTCTTTTACTTTTCGACCACCGCCTTCTCCCACCCTTCCAATTAACACCAGGTCAAGCTATGAAGTATATGGACTATGCATCTGATCTTCCCTTAGCCAAGGAGGGAAATCCTAACGAGGTATATGTGTAATGCAGATAGAGGGCAGAGTAGACACACAAAGAAAACATGGGACATAAAGTCATGGCACCAAAACAGCGGCCCACAAACAAACAGCGAAAATCGAGTAAAATAAGGCGCTTATATGCTACCAGTTGTCATCCCATTCATCCTTGCTCTTACCCGTGGCCGAGGCCGTTGTATTCTTACCCTCTGCGGCTTCTGCACCAGACAAACCAGGTGTAGAGTTAGCCAGCGAGGAGGCAGTAGGACCCTTGCGCATGGCAGCAGTTCCAACAACATCAGACCGTTGAGACCGTTGTGAAGCAGTGCGGCGGTGATTGGATGTATCTTGGTCGCCCATTGACGAGAAGTCATCCCAGAAGTCTCGGCGTTCAGGCTCCACGCGATTACGGCGTCCGTCACCGCGTCCATCTTCTCCTTCAACAAACTTATTGAATTGATCAGCAGCGCCGCGAACACCTGTTTGCAGGTTCTGGCCGAGCGATGAAGCATGAACACGGGCCTGGGCTGCGAACTCGGATTCGGCCAGCTGGATTCCATATCAGTAATCGCGCCAAAGGAGTACATATGTAGACATTATAAAACCTCACAAGCGAGGTGGTGCACATACCTGTTTAGCCGTTGGCTGTAGATAAGCATCATTAACCTGTTTTGCGCTCTTGCCAACCGTCGACGTAAACCACCCAAATCCTTTGGTGATAGTGCCCATTGGGTCTTTCTGAAGATCTTCAAACGGCTGACCACCGCCACTACCACCACCTCCTCCTCCCCAACCCCCAAATCCGCCAAAGGGCGAAGAGCGCCGCTCACTCGTAGAGGCCGCGGGCATACCACCTCCGAAACCAGTAAACTTTCCACCCTGTGAGGGCGGCAGATTATCGACGCGACCAGCATTATCATTTCCCAGTTTCGCAAAGTAAGCCTCATTCTGCTCCTTCTTGCCGGGCACACCACCCCGCTGGCCGTCACCGGAGCGAATGGACGACGCTACAGGCGACCCAGCCCGGGCACCAGATATAGCACCCGCGCCAGTACCGGCCAGGCTCAAGGGCGTGCTCGATCGCGAGGGATTATTCTTCTTCTCCTGGCCTTGGACGTACTCGCGGCCGTCGGCTTTGCACGATAACCGCTCCTTCCATTCCTCGCCCGACTCGCTTTCATATCGTTCCTTGATAGTCGAGTCTTCGAATGTGCGACCTTCTGAGACAGTAACTGGGTGTTCGTCGTAGAAGGACTTCCAGGGATCGTTACCTCCCAGCTCCATGCGTTGGATCTCGGCGTGTTTAAAGGCGTCCATGGTAATCGAACGGACGAAGGAGATGTGAACACCTAGCCCGCGATGTGTGCCGGCGCAGTTGAGGCAGATAAATGTTCCAAACTTCGGGGAGGCCTGGTTAATGTGCCCATGGTTGGCAACGAGTTAGCAGAGTGTGTGGTTTGCGGGGTGTGGGTGTGGGTTGTTTGGGATGATAATGCTTCTCGAGAAGACAATCCCAGGGCGATGGGTAAGAGGGAGAGATAACACGTACCCATTGAGGCGACGGGGCACCGCAATCGCAGCACTTGTCATTTCCGTTCGTCTTGGAGATTTGGAGGAGCTGTAGCACATGTCTGTGTCAGTGACCGTGGCGCGTTGCGGGATTTGGACCTGGCAGCATACCTTTGTCCTCGTTTCTGGGTCGACCTCCCACATGCGAGACATAGTGATAGTGAGTGAATATACAAGGGCGACCAGGTAAGACTTTAGTGAAACGCAATAGTGAAACGCAACCCAAGTAACGGGAGTGCGCTAGTATGTTGTAGGGTTGACCGACTCGGCACCGACGTTGAGTGATTTACCCCTTTTTCTCGATTTGATGGAGTTGCGCGGGGACTCGAAGGTACTGAAGCACGAAAAATAAATGTAATTGGCTTGTTGATAGAATAAAAAATCAATTGAAGAGAGGTGAAACATTACAAGTTCTATGTTTTTTGCCTATGATCGGCAAGGAGTGGGACATTCTCGTCATCCCCAACCAAATCAGCCCTGGAGGCAGGCACACCCACTTGTATAGACTGCAATGTCCATTTCCATTGTATATAGGTGTGGACTACTTCGTACTCTTAAATACAATATGCCAGGTGGCAGATCGTCATCATTTAGTAAATGTGTGCTAAGGTACAATACAGAAGGCGAAGAAAAAAAAAAAAGAAAGTCGTTAAGGACGAAAGGCACATCAGCTAAGATGGCCCTCCTGCATGGTCAACTGATCCATGTTGTCCGATAAAAGTCATGAATCCAACCCCTCCAGGGCTCTCCCCAATTTCCCCAATTTCCCCCCGCAATCGTTGAGTAGCTAAGATATTCACGGTGATCAGTGGTTTGCAGAGCACTATGATCATATCGATACGATCCTCTGTTGAGACACCCCCCTTCTGTTTCTCAACCCCAAAGTCAATTATCAAGTACCTGATTCGGTCGAGTGGAATGCGTTGGGCATTTAAGCCTTAGTGGTGACGGCAGGAGCAGCGTTCTCCTGAGCAGGAGCAGGAGCGGCGGGAGCTGCGGGAGCAGCAGCAGCAGCAGGAGCGGCAGTCTCCTCGGTCTCGGCCACAGCGTTAATGTCATCATCTTCCTTACCGGGGCTGTCGATGGCAACCTTCACAGCGATGACGCGACCATCAATGTCCTTGCCGTTCATCTCGCTGACGGCCTTAGCCTGGAGCTCCTCCGAGGCAAGGTTGACGAAGCCAAAGCCACGGGTCTTGCGGCGCTCGTTACGAGCCTGCAGCTTCTTGATCATGAAGCGGGGGATGGGACGCAGGGCGACCTTGGCAGAGACAGGCTCGTAGACGGCGAAGATCTCCTTGAGCTAAAGGGAGGAAGGTATGTCAGTCAATGTAACCACAGGCGGAGAAAAGACGGAAGAAAATAGATGTAACCCACCTTGTCCTCAGTCAAGTCGTACGGCAGGTTAGCAACCATGACCTTAGTCTTAGAAGGAATGCCATCCTCGGGAGGACCGCGCTGCTTCTGGGGACGTGCGGCGCGAGTCTCACCAGCCTTGGAGGCAGTATCCTTCTCGTTTGTGGTGTCAGCAAGGGGAGTCTCGCTGACAGGGGCCTCGGTGGCTTCCTGGCCATCCTGGGCCTTTCGAAGTGTCAGCATCCATTTTAGTGTTTCGATGTGGGTGGATTCAAGCCGGGAAATAGTTTGGTCACATACAGCACGGCTACGGCCGGTACGACCACCACGACCGCGGGCACGGCCACGGCCACGGCCGCGACCACCAGCACGCTTGCGACCCTCGGCACCACTGGCACCCTCACCGCCACTGGCAGCACCTTCCTTGGCCTCGACGGGCTCGGGCTTGCGGGCAAGCTGGACGGACACCTTGCGCTGAAGAATCTCCTTGCCAGAGAGGGCCTCGATAGCGGCAGAAGCTTCAACGGCAGTAGCAATATCCACAAAGGCATAGCCAACGGGGCGGTTGGTGCGGGGGTTCACCGGGATCGAGGTGGTCTCGCTGAGAGACGAAATGTGTCAGAAAGGGACCAATAAATGAAGGGTGTAGGAGTTTGGATGTTTGTTGAAGGTGGGGGTTATTTGAATTCGAACCAAAAAAACCCGGGAGTTACTCACATGGTGTAGGTCTTGAAGAACTCCTTGAGCTCCTCCTCAGTGGTCGCGTATGCGAGGTTCCCGATGTAAAGACGACGACCCTCATCTGCACTGGCAGCCGCGGCATCGGCAGCCTGGGTGGAAGGGGTAGCACCGTTGATTTCGGGCTTATCGTTGAGGGTGGTCGCAGCCACGGTGTCAGCAAGTGCGTCGACGTCAGACATCTTGAAGGTTTGAGATGTTTGGATGATGAAAAGTGTCGGGGTTGATTGTTTGCCTAAAGCTGAAAGAGACTTGACAGGAGGTGGAGCGAGGGGAAGGAGCAGGGTAGCTTCGTGCCCTAGATACCAATTGAGAGAGAAGATGAAATTGAAGTTTTTCGATGCACTAGATCTTGAAGAGAGGGAGGAGGAGGATGGGAGAAGGAGATGGAAAGGGAAAGGAGAGGCGGTGTGGCACTAGCCCAGTGAGAGCTCGAAGTGACGGGACAAGGTGCGACGTACTTTCCTTTCACTCAATTGGGCTCTTACCCCCTAACCCCCACTAACCTGACCCCTATTTCACCACTAACTACCTAGATAACACCCCCTCAACTCACCCCTAATTTTAGGCTCCCAACCCCCAAACACTCCCGAGGAGCCCCGCCTTACTTGAAGGCCTGACTCAGAACAGCTGGCCTGATGTCATTCTGGATACCTTTTGAACCAATTGCCATCTGTTTACTCCGTATTCCCTTTTCCCTTCCTTATTTCTACTATTTTTGTTATATCATCTTGTATTTCGTATTTTGTTCTTAATTAAACATTCTGCTCTACAAAGTACTCTGTACATCTGCATACCATTCCAATCTCTATAGATGTGCATGATACCCGTGTCACATGTCCTATAAATAATCAAAAAGGCCGATCTTCCATTCTTTTATCTCCACTTGATATTCTCCACGTCCTCAGATTCATCTTACTTTGTATATGATTATAGATGGGATGAATATACAATTGTCTACCCAGTACTAACTTTAATATTCAACCGGGTCGATTATTCAGTCTTGAATAACACCTGGGCACAGGTAACATAGTGACAATATTTGCTCCCTGACACAATATCACAGCAGTCTCCCAATAAACCTCTGCTCAACGCTTGAATTTAGAAACAAATTGTTATCACCTTTGGGCTCATCTCTGCCAGTTCTACTTTCTCATCTACCTAGTTTATGACACTATAGTACTGCTTTCGAAAATATTAGCTGGTTTTAGCTCAAAATGCTTCATGGATAGCTGCGGTCTAGTTCGATGGCGCAAAGATTCGCTTTTCTGTACGTTGCAGAGTCAACTAAAAGACCCTTACATTACTCTATACATATTATGTATCTGACTTTAGGGAATATATGTTTTGACAGGAAGATTCACGATTGGACTGACATGGGTCCCCTGTCTTCAATGTACAATGTAGCAGTAACCATCCATGTACCATGATATAACTATAACTATTTAACAATTCAATGATAGTAATCGTAAAATGACCATGGATGGATTAACCTAAGCTTCTATGAACCAAAACCAGAGAGAAACACCTACATGTTGTAGTTTGTGCGATAACTAACTAACTAACTATCTTGTAAAGTACGTGCATGTAGATCTACATTGAGTTTCTTCTGGTGACGTCCCATTATGGTCCACGGAGATTGTCCTCACTGCATTAGGCACCTAGACACCTTGATTATCAGGCGATAAAAGAAAAGCTTGGTACACCCGTAGTCCACTTCAGTAGCTTCTTGGCTACAACTCAGGACTTGCCACTGGTGCATGAGTACATAACTATACAATTGAACATCTAACCTTCAATCTTGAAAAAGAGACACCCCAAACCAAAGAAAAAAAAGAGGTAGAGATCGACGGTTTAGTGTGGTATTGACGGACTTGTGCACTCCACTGACTCGCCACTGTGGAAAAGAAGGAAAAACAAGATTCGGGGAACGCTGAGTCAGCCTTGGATTTAAACAGAGATCCAGAACCTCTACGGACTGATTTCCATGTGGACTGGAATGGGGGAGTTTCAGGCCCTTGGTTATTTGATATAATCCTTTTAATATCTCGGGGGCTACTTGTATTGTGTGATATTGTCCCCAACCTCCCGGAACTTGTCGCTCCAGCATTATGGATGGCATCGACCCGGTCGAGGACCCCAACGCCCCTAATGGGAATCCCCAGGGGACCCAACCCACAGAGTCTGGCCCCGCCAGGTCAGCAGGTCCTGCCCCGTTGCGCACTCGAGCCGACTCACGGACGCGACGACCCAGTATTCGCCTGTCTCGCTTCCCATCTATCCCTTCAATAGACACCGTTACTCAACCGTCTCAACCCGAGGGTCAAGGTCAACCACCGTCTTTCAAGCCGCAGCCCATCAGATCCCCTGCCCCCAACGAAGAGGACGAAGCATGGCTGGCAAACCGACGGCGCAGCAACTCGGAGCCAAATCTGGGACGATGGTCATCTCCCCCTCCCGATGTCCTCGCACGAGTGGCGACTCCCATGCGAATGATGGCTGTGACCGAGGAATCCTCACACCAAAGTCCGGCACTCCCATCTCCAGCGGCAATATTGCCTGGTCGAGAGACTTATTCCGACTGTGAACCTGATCTGGAGCAAGGCGAGACCTATCCCCAACTAGCGCGACCGGCGGGTCGGCTTCGGCGAACTAGCCAAGCTGCGTTGAATCGCCTAACTCGAAACCGCGCATCCACGGTGACGGGAGCTGCACCGACTCTAGACACACAGGAGGAGCAACGACAGAATGAGTATGGATCCCACGTGGTCGACGTGCTGGACGTGATCGGTAAGCATTGATGCCAAGCGTGATACAGAAACCATGATTTTAACTTATCCGAATCTAGACCCCGAGGTCTCTGCACTTTCTACTCTCACCAATGTCCAAAACTCTCTCTTTGTGCCGAACCTGGGTGGGTTCATCAATCGCATGCCCACCTATACGATCACACGGCCACAATATTCCTCGGATGAAGAACATGGAATTACAACCGACGAAAATGAACCACCCGAGGGCGACAAAACCAAACAGCGGCCGCCTTTAGAACAACTCCAATCATTCACGAGTATGTCCTCGGCGTTGCGAGGCCCCAAGTATGCCGTTCTCCCAGAAGGACAAGGACTTGATGGATGGACCAGAGAAGACTACGCCGAACTCAATGATCATGTTCGACATATGCTTCACTCTCGGCGATCCAAGTTCAAACGGTCCATGAAAGGGTTTAGGCAGTACGTACGGAAGCGTGAGTGATATTCCCCGCCAGGACGTCTTTGCTTAATACTAATATCGCTTAGCCCTCGGCTTTCTTGTAACTCTCTACGCAACTTTGATCACCCTGTTCGGTCTGGCCTGGGTTCTTTTCTTGATTGGTGAGATCTCTTGGTCCAATTCTTTCGGCTAATATGCTAACAGTTACTTTAGGTTGGATCAATGTTGGTGGAAGACAAAGTTATGTTATTAATGTCATTGATAACGTTTTGGTTGCCCTGTTCGCCATCATGGGTGATGGACTAGCTCCTTTCCGCGCTGTGGATACATATCATATGGGTTTCATTGCCCATTATACATTCTTGTCGTGGAAGGTTCGTCGGAAGCGGGCCCTGCCAGGCCTCAAGGACAAAAATGATCTTCCATCGAAGCCGGAGAAGGACGTCGACATTGAATTTGGCGACATGGTCAGGGAAGACGAACACGAATTCTCTGTCCTCGATGCTCGCCAACAGTTGCGATTGATGCATCACCAAAATAAGTTCGCGAAATCGCATACTTTCTATAAGCCGCACGAAACCATGACCCACCACGCCTTCCCTCTACGCTTGCTTATCGCTATTGTCGTCATCCTCGACTGTCATTCTATACTCCAAATGGCTCTTGGTGCCTGTACCTGGAGTATGGAGGACCCTGAGAAGCGGCCATTCGCTCTGACGACGGTTATTCTTTGTTGCTCCATCACCTGTAACATCATGGGCGGCGTGATGATCATGATTGGTGATCGGCGAACCCGAAAGAAGGATGTTGTTGAACGGCTCTTCCGCCAACAGCTGACCCAAGAAGCGATGAAGAAGATGGAAAAGAGGAAGATCAAGGACGAGCGCCGCAGTGCTCAGATTGAGCGGTCGAGTGCGCAGATTGAGCGGCCGAGTGCTCATATTGACCGCTCAGTACCGTATGGCGGCACCTGATCGCATCGATTTCCATGTCCTCACGAATGTCATGACATCGGCATCAAGAACGTTGGCCTAGCTGTGTCAAAACGTTTCTTTATTTTGCCCCACCTGTACAGACTATAATGCTGCTTTGATCGTTGTTTTATATATGCTAGCTACGGAGTTTCATTGGATCTCATATAGGGATGATATTTGCTTTCTGTGATTTTGTTCTCTCGCCTACGGTGCCGTTTTGCTTTTGGCTGAATTCAATGGCTTTTGGCTTTTGGTACATAAGGTTGATCTCTGTACGTGCAAAATAAATGAAACTCCTCAGCCATGTATTTCTATATAGACATAAAACGATAAATCTCATGGGATCAAGAGAACATTTGAAGCCAGTACCTCAAGTAGTGATAGTAACCTTCTCCCCAACCCATTTCCCTCCACCACCCTTAACAATCTCCTCAAAGATCCACTCACCAACCAAAGCCCGTGAAATCGTATACCCAATAGCAGGAGCCTTCTCCGTCCCAACCCTCACTTTCTCTAATCCCATCCCTTCACCCCTTCTTTCCCCCTCAAACACAGAAACCAGATGATCCCCCGTAAAAAAGCTAGGCCTCACAACAACAACTCCAGCAGCAAGCACTCCAGCATCCCCCAACGCAATCTCCTTATCAAGCAATTTCTCCATCTGCAGCTTATCCGCATGGGGAATCGGCAAGAGCACAGAGTACATAGGTCTGAACCAGAACGGCACATCCTTATTACCAGGCCAATGGCCCATCGTCGAGATTACAGTGACCCTTGGCGCAACAGCCCGATACTTCTCGAACGAAGTAAACCGGTCAGAAGCAATCTTCGCCAGCGCCTGCAGCAGCGCGCTTGTCGTCTGTTCTGTGATATGCGGGTTCGAGAGCTGAACGTGCGGCAGCGCAGGTATGCGAATATGAGTCTTTGCGCATTTCGATTCCTTGGTAAAGGCTATTGTTGGTGCGCCGCCTAGGCCCGAGATTATGCTTGTTACCAGAGTACATGCGCTATTGGGAGCGCTCCTGGTGGTGGAGTCGATGATGAGGGTTTTCATGATGCTTTCCACATCTCTTGCATCGCCTTCGATTATCTCTAGCTGGTGAGATAGGATTTCAGGTGTTATGCCGGGCTGGGAGAGGAGCAGCATTGTGAGTTTTGATGGGGTACGGGCTAGGGCTCTGGCGTTGTAGCCGTGGAGAAGGGTGTAGGTCAGGCAGGCGTTGGCGCAGCCGCCGGTTGCTCCGAAAAAGGCGATTGTTGACATTTGGTGGATGCTCTGGTGTGTGTAATCTAGGATTCAAATTGTAGATTGTAGGTTGGAGCTTAGGGTTTGCTTGATTGAGATGGTGATGACTTTTAAGAACCCTAGAGATTCATGGATCCTTTATACTAGTAATCGGTATATACCATCCTTTCGGCGGATTCATATTGGCCCTTGGATATCTTTCCGTCACCGATTCGGCCTAACAGCAAAGTGAGGTTATAGTATGTTTGTTGTATGTCTACCACATACGCTAGACCCGGCACAACTGGCGAACGCTAGGCCGGAAGTGGTTTAGTGGCGGACGAACATCCCACCGATGCGGGCGAACTACTCCTCCGTTGAAGCCTATCAATGATCTAATGATTTGGATTGCTGAACATATATGAATAGAAATAAGCATTGTGGTTTTAATTCTTGAGCTAAGTGTATGCTATTAAAGGATTTCAATGTGTGTAGAATATTATCTGTGGTTTGGATGTTTTGTTCGAGGTATATATCTACAACATAGGTCCTTAGTACAGCAACTCTAAATATTGGAACTATGATCAAGTATCTTTCTAGATTATATTCTGTAGGTTCATACTTAGACAGAATAATATTCATTAATCCATAAAAACCAAGCGATATGTCTCCCTGACTACGAATTACCAAGCTTTAGATCAAACCGAACCAGGTCTACTTTCTACGTAACTGTACATTGCAACCATTCAAAATTTTTCATACAACATACGTTGTTACATTGTAGACAGACATCGAACAAGTTTTTTTTTTGAATGGGGACTAGCCGTAGTTCAGCCAAGACAAGGTACAGTTTGGGCTACTCACTACTGCAGACAGTTAAGTATAGCTACACTTCGGCCTCCTCCAAATACCACTGAAAATTTCGTTAAAATTTCAGCCAAAATGTTATGTCGATGATTATAGCCCATGAAAGCGTTCGATCTAGACTCAACCGGACCAAGAGAACATGCGGAAAGGCCCATATGTTGCAGTTTCAACGAACACTTAACACCCAATCCCTGTGAAGCTTTCATTTCGCATCGAGAAAGGAGAGTGTAGATCAGCAGTTGCCCATCGTAACATCGCATGCTATGCCTGGAGGCAGGGTGAAAATCCGAACTAATCAGGATCGACATGGGCCGGGCGATCTCGAATTCCCTGGGACTGAAAGATAAGTGGATGGTGGACCCAAGTATGGATAAGAGACAGTAATTTAGCAGGATTTCAAACTATAATGTATGTACGAGTGCAAAGAGACAATGAGATCCTAAGTGTTGAGAGAACACGCTGCTCTAATAGTGACTGGAATTGAAAATAACGTGCATGGTATCGGATAATTTCTACCATTGACGGCGCCTCCAGACGCCCCCAAACGCCTCCAAGGTCTGATAACCAGCGCCACAGACATCAAGTGGTCACATTTCTGTGAAGGGGCAGTATTTGAAACTGCAGGGAATTCATCGGGGATGACGGTAGGGGCTGTCCATGCCCTCATCACTTCTAGAAGGACTCTGAACCCGGAAATTCTGACTTACAACGTATGTGTATGGTCTTTCCTCGTTTAATTTGAGACCCATGTGAGGCTCGCAGGGTTTGAAAGTATGTGAACCCAAATTTGGACATCTTAGGACCGAATCAGGGTGTAAGGTAGTAGTCTTGACGGATACCGTTGACAGGGCGGAATGCAGGGCCCCATGCATCTCAGGAGCCAAGGGGGAAAATCTCATTGATTGTTAAATTCCGGAATCAAAAAAGAAGAAAGAACCAATGATATTATTTCTAGGATGTAGAGATCGTCAGGAATAAGCTCGGGATCAAACCCTTGCGTTGCATTCCACAAGCAAAAATGAGAGGGTTGCTTTTGGCCTTCACTATGAGCACTTGGACACTGGGTAGATCACCTCGTGCCCCAAACACCGTGAATTGGAAGATAAAAGGCGAGGAATAAGTCGCTCTCTCTCTCTGTTCTTTTATCCATCAGCCTCTCTATCTCTCTCTGCCTTTCTCTACCTTCTATCTTCCAAACCTCCCAAAACACATTTTTATATATAATAATATTTTTTAAAAAAAGATTTTAATCTTTACCCTACCTTCCAAGATGCAGTTCACTCTCTCCACCGTTGTCCTCGCCTTCGCCGGCCTCGCCGCTGCCATGCCCGCTGAGAACGTGGCTAATGGTGTCCAGCACCAGAACGGAGCTCCTCGCTTCTCTGTTCCCGACGACCTGACTGTTGAGCAGGCCCAGGCCAAGTGTGGTGACCAGGCTCAGCTCTCTTGCTGCAACAAGGCCACCTACGCCGGTGACACCACCGACATCAACTCTGGCATGCTCGCTGGCACCCTCTCCAACCTCATCGGATCTGGCTCTGGTGCCTCCGGTCTCGGTATCTTCGACCAGTGCTCCAAGCTCGACGCCCAGAGTAAGTTTTACCACCCAATATTTTTTGCTTGATCCGTTTCTAACCCCCTGTAGTCCCCATCATTGCTATCGCTCTCCAGGATGCTCTCAACCAGAAGTGCAAGCAGAACATCGCTTGCTGCTCCAACTCCCCCTCCACCGCCAGCAATGACCTCGTCGGTGCCGGACTTCCTTGCGTTGCCCTTGGCTCCATCCTCTAAGCGTATCGCTTTGGAGTCAGTCAGCTTTGCACCGTGTAAAAGTTACAGGAGCTTTGTGGGATACTTTGTTTCTGCACTTGCTAGTTCGTTTGTTTGACAATGTTTCGCAGTGTGATTCTTTTAGAATTAATAAAATGTCACCTAATACATAAATTTGACCTTCTCTTTCCCCCTAACCTTGTTTCCCTTGAAGTCAGTATATGTATCCATTAAGTTCTGATGGACGAATCAACGGAGCCTTGATGCACCAAGCCATTACACCGCACCAGGATGGGCTAGGCAGCACCAGATAACTATATTGGGTCTATACTTAGGTATCAATTATAGTAGTACTAACGGTACCTCGACTTACTATATACTTCCCTAAAAAAACAAGTACTCCTTATACAAAGTAAAGCTGTATGAAAATTAACTAACTATAAGCTTATAAGAAGAAGGTTTCTATATAGCCTCGTGTATCGCTCAGACCTTCTGGTAGTTTGAATACCAAAGAAAACCACATAAAAATGCATTACTCTAGCTCCTGTCCGAAGAATAAAGGATCCCCCTGTGAGTCATGGTCCGGTTTGTCGTCTGGATGGTATAGAGGTCAGAAGCTTCCTTTTTTTGAACTTAGCGTTGTCTGTAGACACATAGCTTTGATAGGCAAAGTTGATCACACAAGCAAGACATATGTGGGATGGTGGGTTTTTCTCAATAAAACCAAGACAGATCGGACTCGGGACTATATAATGGCAAAATGTAATCACTCTCCTTCCGAAACGGTCAGATAAAAATCCTAGAAAAGGAGGTCAGGATCATGCATTAGAGTATGGTGATATGATATCGACATACCGAAAAATGGTTGGAAAACGGCCCGCTGCAGCACCTGGCAAAAATATCAGATCCACGCCTAGCGTGTCCTGGGTGACATGGAAGCTGAAGACCCCAGGGTCTTTGGGGGGGAAGGTGCCGTGGCTCAAGCTTTTAGTTTAGAGAATATGGCCTATTCTGGCGGTTTGGCACTAGGCTCCATGGTAGGTGGGTTTGTGGAGTTCTGATACAGGTGCAAGATCATAACTCTTGGGCTGGGGATTCTTTCTGCAGTTACTGCTATGCCTATGTTATGGCTTAGTGGAAATCTCCTGGACTGAGTCTGTAGATGAAGAGATGGAACGTGAGCCCCTACTGACGGAGTGGCATGCGTCAGACTGTATGTAGTAGCACAAACGGCTTTTGTATTGCATTTATTCTGACGCCATGACAAGTCAGCTCAGGTAGATTTAGTATCCCTCGGCCAGGTGAAGTTTGGTATTGGAATAGAGGTTTTGCGCTATATGTAACCTTCTTGAAATAGTCCCTCGGCTTGATTTTTAATGAACCCGAAATCTGCTACATGGCGGTGATTTAAGGGAGAAATAACGCTTCGCATCAAGAACACAACTTGACTGTTCTGAGTAACGTTGAAGTAGTTATAGTTACACCAGGCAGATAACGTACGAGAATAACGAGGACTAAGGCAACCGAATTACATCTTGAAAAGCAAGAGAAACCCCGGTTTGACATGAGAATGTTGAAAACCCCATGGGTAATCAGATTATCAACATGATGCTTTTCGAGCGAGTCCGCAAATTGCTGTCGAGCCTCTATACTACGACACGTACCTGGCTCCAACCATCTGATGCCGGCCACGATGAAATCAAAGTTGAACAAGGAAGCTACATCTTCCCAGCAGAATCAGAGCCCCATGAAGCGACAATCATGGGGTTACCATCTCGATGTTCCCTACCCCCGGATCAGTACGATGCTATATGCAATGAGTTAGCCCAACTAGCGGCGGCCATAACCGAGTTCGAACCCGTTCGGATGTATGTGAGGCCCGAAGAAATCAAATTGGCCGAGTCCCTAGTCAAGACTTTCATAAAAGACGCATCCAAAATATCCATCATCCCATGTCCAATCAACCACTGCTGGGTACGCGACACAGGACCAGTCTACGTGCACGACATAACAGGAGTATTCCCAAACCGACGCTTCGCAATCAATTTCCGGTTCAATGAATGGGGCGGGAAGAAACCCGAAGATGACGGAGTCTGCTGGGGTCAGCAATGGCCCTTGATGGACGAGAAAGCACTACAGGAAAACAAGGATTTTGCGCGATGGGTAATCGAGCACGACCGCGAGCCCAGCCCCGTTACGCAGATCGAGAGTTCGATTCGCGTTGAGGGCGGTGGTCTTGTTACAGACGGTGAAGGAACCCTACTCATCACGGAAAGTAGCGTTGTATGTGATGTGCGCAACCCAGGGATGTCCAAGGGGGAGATCGAGATAGAGTTGAAGCGGGTGCTGGGTATTGAAAAAGTGATATGGTTTCCTGGGCGGCGCAATGTCGACATTACTGACGTGCATATGGATGCTGAGGCGAGATTCGTGCGCCCTGGTGTCATCGCTTACTCAAAACCTCATGCCGTTTCGATTGACCTGTGGAAAGAGTTGTCTACGGAGATCCGGGAGATCCTAGACTGTGAGACAGACGCTAAGGGTCGGCGTCTGCAGATCCACACCATTGAAGAACCTGACCCACGAGGTTTGGTGAAATCCGATCACGATGAATTAGCGGCAAGTTATGTGAATTTCTATTTTGTTAATGGAGGTCTGATAATTCCCAAATTTGGTGACAGAGAAAGGGATCAAAAGGCTTTGGAAATGTTTCGGCGGTTACTCCCTGAACGGGTGATTCGGCAAGTGTATGCCAACGCCATTCCCCTTACTGGTGGAGTGCTTCACTGCGTCACTCAGCAGGTTCCTGCAATGAAGTGAGGATGAGTTCAAGGATATGGCATTGTAGGGGAGAGCCTTTGACTATCCAGTCAATTAAAAAAAAAAAAAAAAAAGATCGGTCTTCAAAGTCTTGTCAACAGGTCTGAGAATATATTCTTACTCAGACATTGCACCGCATATTTGCCATTGAGCATGTATTTGGACTCATAGATATTCCATTTCCCGGTAATTCTGACTCCAACTAGTCCGCTGAAACTAAAATCTTCCGGGGGGATTCCAATGTTATATGTTACAAAGAACAGTCATTCATAGACAGCTGACTTCTCAAGAGGCCACAGCTCCGTAGATCTTAATTTCCATGAAAGAAGCAAATATGCGAGTCAATCCTACAACAGTACGGAGTAGAGAGTTTAAGACCTCCGAAGGTCGACATCTATTGTGTGCATTCGATGTGTAACAGTATAATTTGCACGACAAAGCCGAGAAATGCTGAGACTGATATTCCCCGGGATATGTTGAACTAAATGTTGGACTAAGGTCTCTGAGGAATAAAAGAATATACAAGAATACACATAATAGCGACACATCAATTGCATCTGTTCTTTTTTTTTAATGTTGTATGTTATAAAAGATGCATGCAGGAACCACTTAACTTGCCTGTGATGCGTCGATCTATGGAGATGCAGCTGAAGCACAAAAAAAAAAAAAAAAAAAAGAAAAACGTCCACAGTTTGAAGTTCATTCTTTTGGAGTCAGACGTGTTGATTCTTCGGTGCTCTCACCCTCTATCTTTCTACCTTCACTGTATTTCAGCTTTGCTCTCGAAACCTGAAACCTACAACATATACTATTACCAACATCCTGGTCACACTACTCAGATATTTAGTGTTAGTGATGACCTTGATGTACCTGTGTGTACCTTGTGTGATCTACCTCTACTCCGTTCATGTATCCAACTCCACGCCCTCACTCATCAATCCACATAAATAGTGTTGAGCTGATCACAATCGGGTTAACAATGGAGTACCAAGTACCCAATATCGAAGCAGGATTGCCTCAATCAATCGATCTAGTTACTGATTGATCGTCTTCCACGCACATAATACACGTCAATTTGTTTCAACAAAAATATAATTGGCTCTCTCACAGGTTAACTGGGGAAGTGAGGTCTTTATCCCGTACGACTTGTTGCTTATTCTTTTCCGTGAGATCCAACGTAATGCAGAGTTTCAATTACGTGCAAAACTTGGCTTTTATTGACCTGGTGGTTCATTCGAGCCTCTTTAAATGATCGATTCGCACGGTGTCCACCGAAAGCGCACAGTACATCTTCCTCAAAGGACCATATACATCAGGGATTTGTATTATAGTCCGACATATGTTTTTTATTTTGTAATGTTGTTTCAGTTACAGAACTCTCCATTTTCCACAGTTCTTCTCAGTCGACTACTTTCCACAGTCATGGCTCCCCTCTCTGCTCCCAGCGAAGCTGTGACCACTGGGAAAATCATACATGCCACCGGATATCGAAATCTCTCACCAGATGAGCTAGTCGATCTCGCAATTGAGAGTCATATTGCCCACATAGTCAAACGCTCTGTTGTTGGTGGCGATGAATCATTCTTCATCGCCGATTTGGGCCAGATACTTCGACAACATCGTCGTTGGACTCAGCATATGTCCGGTATACGACCGTATTATGGTATAGCACCCCATTCTACCCCATTCCCACCCATATTTAGAGAATAGAAATCTAACCTTTTTCCCGCAGCGGTCAAGTGCAATTGTGACCCAACCTTCCTCAACGTTCTTGCAGAACTGGGGACGGGGTTCGACTGCGCGTCTATTGAAGAGATGCGCGCAGTTCTCAGCCTCGGCGTAGATCCAGCCCGGATTCTGTTCGCCAATCCGTGCAAAGCACCCGCCGCCGTGGCCTTTGCACGCGAGGTTGGCGTCTTGCGAACTACATTTGACAATATCGACGAATTGGATACCATCAAGACACATATGCCAGAAGCTCAGCTGTTACTTCGTATCTATGCAAATGATGAGGGTGCTTTTATTTGTCTGGGCGACAAGTTTGGTGCGCAGTTGGATACGACCGAAGAGCTACTTTCAAGAGCTTGGGAGCTTGGACTGAATGTGATTGGTGTCAGCTTTCATGTTGGTAAGTACTTGGAGGGGGGTAACTTCTGGTCTTATATAGTTAGCTGGTCACTTGGTCATATGTATTGACCATTCGGAACTATTAGGGACGGGTGCTACCAACCCAGCATCATTTTGCAAGGCCATTAAAGATGCACGTCTGGCATTTTCACAGGCCGAACGTCTAGGTTTCCACCTCAAAATTCTCGATATCGGTGGCGGCTTTCAAGACGATTGCTTTGAGGCTATGGCCCCCATCATTCGAGACGCGATTCGGTCCGAGTTTCCAGCTGGTATCACAACGATCGCAGAACCAGGTCGGCTTTTTGCTCGTAGTGTGTATACTCTCGTATGTCGAGTGATTTCACGTCGCCGTCAGCTTGGGAGTGCTGCTCGATCTGGTGTTCCAGACATGCTTTATCAAAACGATGGCATATACGGGAATTTTATGAATGTGATTATGGAGAAAGAGACCATGGTTCCATATTTGGTCAAGAGTAAGAAGGCCAGGGGGTTCTTGCATAAACCAAAACAAGGGGATGCTTTGCAAGTAACAAATCATCGGTACTCGATCTGGGGACCTACATGTGACAGCACCGATTGTGTTGTGCGCGAGGTGACGCTTGATTCTGAAGTCAAGATTGGAGATTGGCTCAAATATAAAAACATGGGAGGTGGGTTTCGCCATTTCATTCTTGGGATTTCAACAGAACTGACGGAGCTCCAGCATATACAAGTACCACGGCCACTCAGTTCAATGGCTTCAGCAGCACCTATGACACATTTTATGTCAATAGTGAAACGTTGCCTGGCTATTAGCTGGTGTTCCGCAGAGGGTATTTGTGGTCTTGGGTTCATTGGTATGGGAGTGGCTCAGTCTCTCGCTTGAAGAGCCCATTGTGGATAAGCTGCAAAGGACATGATATATGACACGGCATATCAACGGTGCCTAAAACAAGAAAGGCAAAAATAGCCGTGGCCCATGTGATTGACGGCCTTGTTGAGCGTGTTGACAGGCTCGGGGCCGATACAACCGGAAAACATGTGGTTAGCAGCACTTGAGGAATGAGATCGCTTACATGATCTCCTGAAAAATTGAAGTGTAAATCGATGAATAGCCTGCATTCATTCAGCTTGAGCGCGCAGCCTCTTGCATATATCTATACCAAAAACCATAAGATCCATAACTATAATAGTAGGATAACCGAGCCCATCCAAAAGAAAACAATAACCGCACGCTGAAATAAATAAACACCATAATCTCCAGGGATTTTTCCTATCACTCCAGACGGAATGAACATAGCACAAAGGATATCATATCAATCATGATAGAAAAAAAAGGTGAAAAAAGACTTCATCAGAGAAAGACATAAGAGAACCGCCGAGATAATAGGCAAGAGGTGACAGAAATTGAAAATATGTAAAGAGAGACGAGAGAAAGCTCTTTGACGACATCATACTTTCTCCATTCCGGACATCGAGACGTCGTCTTGAATCGCATTCTCGGGGAGAGACTGCTTGATATCCATCCCATATGGCTGAGCGTCGGAGGAAGATTCACCCTGCTTCTCTGGCACGTCTGAAGCTCCGTTCTCGGGTCGTTTCCGACCAAGCCGCTCGCACCAGTGCTCAGCACTGACCAATGTGTCATTGACGACACCGCTAACTTGCGCCATCATGTCTAGACCCTCTTGGGCCAGCACCAGGATGCGATGAGCACTGATTGTGGCATCGGAGGCGGCAGCTGGGGAGTCCGGTGGTGGCTGTGATGTGGATGCAACCTGGAAGCGGTGCGGCAGAGACGTCAAGTGTCGACGCACTAGATGGCGGGCATTTTCCGGCAGGGCGCCTCCTGCATATTTGGAAACAACATCCACTACTTGTTTCAAGGTCGATAGCACATCGGCCTTCACCGCTTGGATGCGCTGGATAAGCAACGAGGCACTTTCTTGCCCACTTCCTCCTGCCTCGATATCCGACGGTGATCGTGATTTGTGGTTTTCCCACTCGTTGACAGCACTGTGCAGTGCTACAATGGATTTGCCTAATCGACCATTTGCCCATCGAAGCCAAGTCAGACAATATTGCAGACTACGCAACGATTCATCGCTCATGGCGACCCCGAGCCCCGAAGTCGAAATAACTAGTCGGCTTTGCCATGTCGGCTCAGCACGTCTTCCTGGTTTCTCTTCGTAGTGAGGAGACCTTATTTCGTCGTATGGCGGGAGCGACTCGTCCATGGAGAGATCGGACGAGCTTCGTGTTCGCGGTGGGTGAGCTGAGCCGTCCGGTCTCTTCTCCCCATCCATCTTTCGTCGCTTATTGATGTGGTTTGAGTCTTCGCTTGTCGAGTCCCGCCGCTGTAGCGCCCAACGAAGACCGCTTTCGACACCAGTCCTGCGGCCTACCGTGCCGACGGTGTTCGCGACAGGTGATCCAATATTGCGTTCGATGAACTCAGCACCAGACTTGAATCGCGGCGAGTATGATTTCGAGGTGGCGTAAGCAGAAACCGAGCCGTTTATGGCAGAGGAGATAAGTGGATGGGAAGAAGTTAGCAGAGACAATAGTGGCTCTGGCTGCGGTGGGTCCGGTGAAGTGACGGGCAGGGATTGTCGCGTTGTTCGAGGAGATTGTCCGAAATCTATTGTTGAGATTAGTTGAAGGTCCGTCGCACAGTAATCCTAATCCAGCGAAAACCGAAAGCTGCGACACTTTAAGTGGGCTGGTTCGGGATATCAGAGCCACATACCGGAGCGAAGCCCCTCAAGGGCCTGTGCAGCTTCGAGATCATCCATCGATAACACACTGGCAGCTCGACGAGATCGATCTTCTGCTTTATCGACATCCATCACGGATGGATGAGCATTGTGAGAAGGCGGAGCCGTAGGTGATGGGGCGAGGTTACTTGTAAGCGCGGAGGGGAGCGAATTGGTCGAGTTTAGACTCGTGGCGTTTATCTTTCGGATAGGTAGTTTTGGCCTAGCGGTTTTGGGGGGTTCCATGGCGGGTCATAGATCGTCCATAGAGAGAGTGTGTGTAGTGACCCCAAGACGTCGGAGTTTCGCATCGTATCGTCTTTCACGTGAAAAAGTGTCACTTATCCACTAGTCCTAATCAGGAAGGAGGAATAAGGTGAGGTAATCACATTCCTACGGTACCTGGTTGGCCATACAATTTACTATGGCTACCGATGTACCTTTCCTCATCACATGTCAAATATCTCGTTGTCCCAACAAACTCACATCTATTCGCCCCTCTTGGCACTTCGATCTTACCGAAAATGATTATTTCACTCTTCATTTGATGTGAAAACTCTGAAGTCACCGACAATTGTGTCTTGCGTACACCCTGCGATGTACTCTGTAGTGCCAATGCGCCTGCCTATAGAGCTTTTTCAATATGTAGTCGGTTCCTATTTCACCCAAGTACGATGTACACCCATCGCAACGCATAGTATGATACTGAATAAACACATCTGTCCTACGGAGAAGAATCCATGATCCCGGAAAAGACACAACGAACCCCCTCCGGGGTTCATCATTTCCCTATGTCATAGTATCTCCATTTTTATCGTTGTCAATGTAACTCGACTAGTACGTCTGTATGCATGTACCCCAACGTGCGCTAGGATGAGTTAGGATATGCTCGACAGACCAAGAACGAGAGCGAATACGATCGCTCTCGATCCTTGACGCCCTTTCTCTACGAACTAGTTACGACTTACAACATACGTACTCCGTCGTAGACGTTGTAGTTCAATTGTGCAATTGTGTTCTGCGTCGGTTGCACCTCTTTTTCCCCCTGCTCCATACGTTGTATGCATGTACTGTACTGTGTAGATTGACATTGTCCCGGAAGACGTTGCTCCGCCCTATCATATGCCTAAATGTATATATATATGGAATGTGATTTATAGGCCTTTGGCCTACGATTTCCATTTACCGCTCTGTTGACCGGTATGAGATGTACTTACGAGGCTGATTTCTCTTGACGGTATTAAATGTATTTTAATATTGGGTACAAGACCCCAAATATAGTCTTTGTTTCAATTTATAGACCCAATCATATCTTTGTTGGGCCATATACAGCCTGTTTCGGCTTGAGCACGGCATGTGATGTGGGGAGTGTTTTAGCAGTTGACCTTTGAGGACTAGGATGAACTCTGCTTGGTAGTCTTTTAGGCAAAAGCCCGATCCTAGTATGATCTGTTAAAGTACTCTAGTTATGTTTAGATACAACATGTGATTGGGGCTGTCTATCAACTCTTAACATATGCAAAAATAACAAGGTATCTAACTATATCATGCTAACTATGTTCAACAGTCACAGACATCACAAGAAAATATCGCCCAGATTCAAAATAGGCAAAAATCAAACGCCGGGTCGCTGTTGGCGTCACTCGTATCACATTTCGAAGGACAATTTTTCCTCCAATCGATCATCGTAATGACCGACCGGTCCCTTTCAAGACGATAGCATGGCTTCAATGACTTCTCCGTCTTCATACTCATCTACATCATCAATCTCATTCCCTGGCAATTCATTGGCCGTGAGATGTGCCACCATTTTCTGATTCACTCGGTAGCAGGCGACCACGTCATTAGTGATAAGGCGGGATGGCGAGACGGACGCCTTGATCTCACACAATGTCTCACCAAAGGCATGAAGAATAAACCGGGAGTTTGGACATCGACGGTAGGTATACGAAGCTACCAACCGTTGCCACTCATTGCGGCTATTTTGCCAAGTGTGGATAAGCGGATGGTTGCCCGCGGTGGGAGGAGCAAGCGCAGCTGCACTCTCGGCAGCTTGACGTGATATGGCAGAGAACTTGTCGCCGATAGAAGCAGAGTGTCCTTGGTTCCACTGCCTGTATAGTTCGTCTATCGACCTCTTAACTTCACCAAGAGCGTCTTTTAACTCTTGACTATGCTGAGAGTTGCCCTTCGATGCTTCATCGGCTTCACTCCACGGACGAATGAGGTCATCGTCGAGTTGATTTTGGATATCATTCTCGGGGAACGCCTCGTTGAGACCTGAGAGAATTCTGCGGAGCTCCGACTGTGCGACGTTAAACTTGAGGAAATCGACAATGTTCGACGGTTTGAATTTGCGCTCTGGGTTCCGATACGCGGGAAGCGTACGTTGCTTAGGGCTAATGGTTTTGCGGTATTCTTTCCAGGCTTGCTCTGAAAGATGAACTCCACCTTTCCGGCCATCAACAAGATGACCCAGCAGACAGGCCAGCTCTTTCGCTTTTGGAGAGTCGACTGACTCATCGTATGCCAGTTTCTCATGCTCGACGGTACATCGACCCAGGTTTGAAAGGTTGAGGTTGAAATCAAACACACTTTCCAAAAAGTCTTCCGTCGACTCCAGCGAGGCCATCGGAACGGAATGTTTCGTGAGTCCGTAATGCTCTGCGGGATATTCATGAGAGGGCATCGGGGAATTGTGGAACCTCTCGACAATCACTTGATCCCAGCAGATCCACGGCGTATCGCCATCATAATCTCCTCCGGATAGCATACCGGCTAGAGGAAAAGTCCCTGTGGTTGGAAACACAACGACATCTTTAAAGTGACGTAGTTCAGTCTTCCACACGGCTCTGCGCCGTTGAATGTCAGACGGTAAATGGGCTGGAAGTCGGCCCACGAGAACATCTACCCCATCCAGTAGATTGTCTTCAAACTGGCCCTGTGGATCCCGCCAGTTATTAGAGAAGCCAAAGTGAACTTCATCCGGACCGAGAACTCCGTATGGGTCTGCAATACAGTATGCATGGGTTGAGAGTGGGACCTGGATCTTGAGTTCTTCAACATGTCGCTCAAGAAGCCATGTCAAGTATTTGCGGATGTTCATCCGAAGGGGAAAAAAGTCGCGTGGGGCAAAGCCAGCCTCCGAAAAGCGAATGATGGACTCAGCATCATTAGTCACCCACTGCTCTAATCGTCGCGCTTTACCAGTTCCATCCTCGCCGGAGGGTCTCAGCTTCTGAAGCAGGGCTCGACAAACCACGGGGTTGTTTGATCGGAGAACTTCCAGAAAGTCATCATAAAGACTCTGCACACCGTCACGCGTGAGCTTGGCAATGTACTCCTTCACGTTCCCTCCATACTCCAGAATTGCAAGAAGCTGGATATTGAGGTCAACAGGGTGCAATGGCTTAGCCCAGTTGACTACTTCGAACGTCAATTTCTCGTCGTCAACTGGGTCAACCCACTCCTGGGGATGAGGGTGTATTTTCAACTGTGAGTCCGAGATCTGAATCCAAATGTCATCGTCATTTATGGTAGAGATACTAGATTGGTGGCAATCAACCATCCAGAGGCCCTTAGCGCCTGCTATTCTGCCCTGGAAGCAACTAGGCGTGGCGGTGGTTATGCCCAATTGATCACAAATTTGGTTCGCAAGAGTCCTCGAAATCAAAGCACATCCATCATTCATGACAGCCCGGGTTGGATCGTCTCTCAAACGAAGCACTTGCGTTGGCTTTAACTTGACTGTCGCAAACGTCTTCGACAAGCCTAGAGAGATTCGCTGGAAGAGCTTGCAATTGCTTTGATTCGCATTCGCAGTCTTGGGCATATGCCATTCCAGCAAAGCATCTACACTCATCGGAGTATAGTTGTCACTTTGCTGTCGAGGAGGGGCCACAACTGGGGGGACCTGATACAAATGATCAAAGTCGTCGCCATCAATGGCGAACAGCTCAACCCGAAACCGAGGCTCGCCCTTGGCTTTTCGCTTGGTTTTTACTTCTTCGACGTAGAAAGCCCGCCAGGTCCGTCCGAGGCAATAATGATCATTCCTTGTGAGCCAGGAAGCAATACTCTCGCGAAGGACTGATGGGTAGGAAGGTTGTTTCTGATGGACTGGAGGCCGATCTGGGGCTGGAACAGTAAGAGTGAGGAATCTATCAGATCCAAACCTTCGGTGGAATCGACACGTCCGCTCTGGCTTGAGCGGGTTGAGCCTCAATTTGAAAATACCCGGCTCAGACTCATCACACCAGTCCAATTCTCCTGACAGTACCACCACCTCTGAGTGCTTATCTGATTTGAAATCACCAATAGCAGCATCCCAGGCCCGGCGTGGCGATCTCTCTGGCAAGAGATGACCGTAACGTCGACCAAGTCCGCCGACCCATGACCAGAAATCATCTTGGGTGTTGAAGGTAATACGGTCGCCAACTAGTATTTTCTTGAACGGAATTCCCCACGCGCGTCCAATGCGTTCTAGCTCATATCGGAATCGCAACGGAATTTTCGCTGAGAAGGATTCTTCCGCCGAAAACGGGCCATAGGACAGGAGCTCATCAACAAACTCCTGTTTAATAGAGTACTCCGTTTCAACGGGGTCTCCATTTACCATCATAGAGATAGCAGCAGCATCCACGCTCCTTTGCATCTCGTCGCTAGCCATGTACCCGACGACCGAGTCTGCATATGTTGATTGCGTATCCATTATCTCGGTCATGTCTGTCGTGACGGTATCAAAGGATTGCCCCATGCTAAGATCGCGAGAAAATACCGACGAAGTGATCGTTGTTGAAAAGTCTGTACTATCTGAAAGCGTCACATCGTTACGCTTCGATTCATCGGATGCTGCACTAAGCTTTTCAAATAAAGTAGGCTTTTTAAACTCAACATCATTCTCGGTAGGAGAATTTTCTTCGTTGAAGCTGTTACCAAACCCAAATGATCGAAGATCCATCTGTTTCAACGGCGATTGGGAGGGTGATTTTGCCGATTTTGGGGTTTTAGATGGCGATCGGACAGATCCAGGGTTCCTTGCGGGTGATTGGGCAGCAACTGGAGTCTTTGCTGGCGACGAAGTGCTCGTCGACTTCCTCGTCGGAGTGGGAACATTTCCTTGAGGCTTGGGTTGTGAATTAGTGACCACTTTCCTAGGGAGCGATTGGTGATTCCCTGGACCCTGTACTGGTTGTGCCTTCATTGGCGGACGGAAGGTCGCCGAATACTTGGCCGGAGAATTGAAGTTCTCTTTGTTATGTCCAGGCGAGTGAATGGGTCCATCGTTCCTTCCGGGAGACGGGTGAACTGGGATCTTTGCTGGCGATGCACTTCCCACCGGCCCCCGCGCAGGAGACTGAATTGCTCGATGACTATTGACCGGCAAGTTGACGGTCCCAGAGACCCCCGAGATGAGCCTTGAAAGGCAGCCTGTACCGTCTCAGAAAATTGTAAACCTCCATCCCAATTCTTCCCCAAGGGGGACTGAGCTAGCACAGATCCTTTCACGGGGGAATTCGGCGCGGTGTGGAAGTTTTCATCTTCATCATCATCATCATCAAACCTTTGTTTCTTAGGTGATAAGCCCTGGACATCTCCAAAAGAATTAGCTGCTAACCTTTTTTTCGTGTTTACAACACGACCATTCGCCAAAAGATATTCCTCATCTTCCATAAGTGCTAGCAGCTGCTTCATACACATGTCCTTCTCGGGGCCAGTAAGCGAGAGCGGAGGCGCAGGTTCCTCGCTCTGGTGTCGTTGGCTTGCCCGACGATCTGCATTGGTCCGATAGTTAGGGTTCTGGGCGTGTCCCTGGCCGGCCAACGGCAGGTTCCCGTTGACCCATTCTTCGAGATTGCCAATTAGGCTTCTCTTGTCAACCTTGTTATTGAAGAACAGTGGACGAATATGCTTGTAGATCTGACTGGGGAGGCTGGTATTTCCCTCTCTGGTCGAGGGGGATTCAATTCCTGGGAGGGGAATCTCGAGACCAAATTTGACGTTCACTCTTGTGATGAAAGTGCGGAAATCCTCTTTTTGGTGTTGTGGGGTAACGGGATGATCCATTTTCAGCATCCCATTCAATCCAGGAGAAAAGAAAAATTGATGTCGTTCTGCTGGAGTGTCGAATGAAGAATGAAATCACAAGATTCGACTGCATGTGAGGGTTCTTTGTTAGTCTCATGCGAAGGCATGGTGGGGGGATGTAAACAAACCTCAGATGCATTGGGTTGGTTTCCTTATGGGTAGTGTTCTAAGAATGGGAAATTGAGGAATTGAGGGGGATGAGGATCTTAAATCAGCAGAATGTCTTAGTTGACTCCTCAACCTTGGAAGTTCTACCTGGGTTCTACCTGGAGAACAACATAGGTCTACGGGTTGCTGTGCAAAAGAACTGTTTACGCGCCAACTTCGGGTAGCTGCTATTAGCGTCCCCCACTTAACCTGTCGCTGTGCTGGCTGTCCAGTTTTACATATCGAGGATTCAGGGCTGCATATGGAGTGATGGATGTCTTAAGATGTTTCCAAGTCAATCACACAGTGGAGTTGTAGGCGTGGGTTATTCACCAGGGCATACTAGATACTGGACGAATAATGGAACTTGAAGCTAGAGTTAGTACCAAATTATAGCGCACAGACTAGACATTCAGGAGAATAGAGTGAATGGTATTTGCTTTTTTTCTTTTTCTTTTTCTTTTTTTTCTTTTCTTTTCTTTTCTTTTCTTTTCTCGCCTGTTGGTCAAAAAGTTGGTCAATGATCCTGATGACATATAGAATACTGGCTCCAGGGCTATCACAATCAGTTTCCTTCCGCTGCGTCCCCTCTCTCATTTTCAGATTCCATCTTGTCTGTCCATAGATCAGCCTCCTTAGGGTTGACACGTTTACTGTGGACAGCGAGCTTATAGCCAACCATCAAGATGATGTAGACAGGAATGCTAATGTACGAGGCAATGAAGGACTTGACGTCGAACGTCCGAACACCTTCATCGAAACTGAAGGAATCGAAGACAATGGCGACAGAGATGAACAAGCAGAGAATGAGAGCCAAACACGTTCCAGGCAGACCGAATCGAGCTCTAAAAGCTAGAGCTTTGTCGGGAATGCCTTGAGCCTTTCGTGCTCGCACAAAGGATATATGGGTGGCGAGAATTGAAATCCACGTAAGCAACCCGAGCATTGTGACCATGTCCACGAAGTATCCGAATACAACAGTTGAGTCTTGGTGGACGTTAAGATATGCCAATGTTGCGGTTGACGAGCTCACAGCCAAAGCATAGATCGGGACGCCTCTCCGGGTAGTGCGTGACAGAAAAGCTGGGGCACGGTGCTTCACTGAGAGATCGCACATTGCCTTGGTTGCCAGATAGAGATCGTAGTCTGCGATTGACAGGACGAACAACAGTATACATGCATTCAACAAGTCCGGTAGTACGGATATGCCTGCCAGATATAAAGCTGCAACAAATGCTGATGCGGCAGACTCATGGGAGGCATTATCTGAAAATATCACAGTGGCCGAGTCCTGAGGAACAATCATCCCGAGAAGGGTAATTGCTAGAAGGTGGAAGACCATGATTCGATAAAAGGTATTCTGGATAGCCCTCGAGGTAGCCTTTCGAACGTTCGGGAAATGAGCCATTCCAGACCGCTCGCTTCCAATGTACGCGAACGTGGCGGATGACATCGTCGAGCAGGTTATGTAGAACTTCTCCAGCAATGCGCTATCACGATGGGGATTCGCGCCGAAAGCACCGGGGTACGACCAATATCGAAATCCTTTCCTATCTTGATCCGGGCCCCCTCCCAGAGCAATGACGGTGGAGAGTATCATGAGTCCAAGCATAACGACAAGCTTGAATGAAGAGACATAGAACTCGATTATGCTCGGGAGGCGGTGATTGATGAAGTTGAGAGTCACAATGACCGAAAGGAAAACTGTAATCCAGATACCAGGATTGATTCGCTCCGCACTGACCCAATACGAGACCACCAGCGCTGCAGCTGTGAGCTGGTTCGGTGTGACAACGGCATATTTCAGCCAGAATCTATGGGTGCGGTCAGAAAACGAAGCACGTTATACGCAGCTTTCGTCAGGAAGGGGGACGTACATCCAGCCCAAGCTGAATCCAAGTGCAGGATGACAAAATCGAACGGCTTGATCTGCAACGGTATATGGTTTCGGTAACCATGAACCCACCTCACCCAAGGCAGAGAGGACGAGGTAAACCGCGAATCCGACGATGGTGTAGGAGATTATTATAGCTGCCGGCTATAACAGATCAATATCTTCGCCTGTGAGGTTCCTAGGGAATGACTTACGCCGCTCCTATATTGGAGTCAACGTTCGTTCAGCATAGAAGAAATCCGCATGATATGAGGAACCAATCTTACATGGACAATGCTCTTCCAGTACCAACCATCAAGCCCGTTCCAATCGCCGACCCGATGGCTGAGAGCCTGTGTTAGAATGTACAACCCCGTACAGGGTGGGGGATACATACTGATGATGCTGATTTGACGGGGTGACAATGACCCGTATATATCGGTGAAGCCCAGAGCATGCTCACTCTGGTGAACCTCCGGGGTAGTTTGTGAAGTCGGTGACTCAGCGCTGATGGGCCCCAGTTCGCAGGTAGAGGTTCGCAATCGGCGTCGGGGAAACATCTCCTATGCTGTATTTCAATAGCGAAAGTACGAATCTCTGGCCGACGAAGCTAGGTATAGCAAAAGAGTTAGGTATCAACAACGTGAATCAAAGATTAGAGATCGAGTGAACAGCCCAGGAGATGGCCGAGAAAGCCGGGGTGATAAGTAGTTGTGCAAGTGCGAGTATGGGAAAGAACGAGGCACAACTGGTTGGGATCATAAAATGATTGGGATATATTTTCTATATGCAGAAATCCCATCACGGGACAATCGAAATTGAATGGCAGGAACAAAAAAAATAGAAGCATTTCCTATGCCAGCTCTAAGGATTGCCACCAAGCCCATCAAGGAGGCATCAAAAGTAGCCAGCGTCTATCAAAGGCCATAAAATCACAAACGCCCAAGGTTATCGACACCCCCCAAAAAAAAGCACCAGTCGGTTGCATACTGAGTTCCATGGCCCCGTCAAATGGGGTCAGAGGGGGAGGAGAGAGGTGTCATGAAAGTCTTTGTCAAATATTCCCAAATGGCAGCGGTTTGGGGCAGGCGTTTGTCTGGAACGGTCGCTTCCTGGGTGAGGCGGAGGGGTAACGCGAGATACGTAACAGGGGTTCTCCTATTCATCAATTCATCGCGACATGAGCGAATCGCTCGACTCCGTGCGGGGGAATATACGCGTGTAGAGGGAATCGCTGGACTCGGTACGTGGGAAGTGTCGTTGGTGCTTCCGTGAGATCACGCGATCGGTGTAAATACCCTTGGCCGCACCACGAATGACCGACTCAAGATATTCGCGGAAATCTGTAGGTTGGAATTCGGGGTACAGGTCCTGTGTGGTGTGGTAGCCGAGATACTTGGCGTACTCGGGGTTGTTGTCGCCGCGGATTCCCCAGGACAGCTGATATTCGGCCAGGTATCGCGGAATGAACTTGATCGGGTCGAAGGGGTAGGTTTCACTGGCTTGTCGGGCCGCCACGACTCTGCTGCAGATGGTTTCTTCGGGAATCTGTGCTCCGGGAAAAGAGAAAAAATCGGTTAGCCACATTTGACTCATTCCGAGCCCAAGAGTCCGTGCAACTTACGTAGTTTCGATCGATCTTCTCCTCGCTGAGTTCCTCCATGAGCTCGTAGATCTTGTTTTGCGAGAGAACCAGGTTGTAGGCGAGGATCTTCTTGTTCAAAGTGCGGGGGTCGGAGATGATCATAGCCATGTAGCGACCGATGTCTCGCAAGTCGGTCAATGCTGTGGGCATATTGCCATCACCAATAATCTCATCGTTGCCAGATGTCATGGCATAGTCGACACGCCCGGAGGGGAGGCGGGGGTAGGCGAGCTGGTACCACCAGCCGACATCGACGACGGTGTAGGGAAGCCACAACTGTCGAATCTGGTTGTAGACGATTTCTTTCTGCACGTGGTAAAAGACTGATCAGCCCACTGACTAAAGTACTGTGCCACATTTCTCATACCTCGTCACGCAACCACATGATACCACCCGGTGGGCAGACGGTGATGAAACCACATGGAACGAATCGCTTCACGCCAGTCTTTTTGGCTGCCTTGGCGAGAGGAATCTGGTCCTGTTGTTCGGCAGGACCAACACAGCTGATAACCACATCAATCCCAGTCAACGCCTCGATGAGTTGCTCCTCTGGGGCCTTCAAGTCGCATTTCCGAATCTGGCAGCCCCGATCCTGAAGGCGCGTTATAGCTGGCTTTTGGGCCGAGATAGGGCGAACAAGAGCGATAACCTCCTATTTATCAGAAAAACAAAAGCAATTAGTCTGGGGTCAATTGGTAAGGCTGGAAGCTGGACCACTTACAAAGTTCCCGGTATCCAACAGTCCGTTGGCGATAGAACCTCCGGTTTCACCCGCTGCTCCGACGAGCAAAACCTTGGTGGACATAATAATTTTTTTAAGTTAATCAAAATGGAGGATGGGTTGGGGTTAAAATAAGATGTAAAAGGTAAAAGGTAGGATTTCAAGATGTTGAGAGGGGGGTTGTGAAAATCAAAAGGAAGAAGGAAGAGAGAAAGAGAAGCAGGGATTGGGTAACAGGTTTAGGACCTGACGACGTTATAAATTCCCAAAGGCTCAACCCACTTTCTCATCCGCAGCAGTGGGTCGGTGGATGTTCGTTCCCCTCGTTTTTGAGGGGAGATATTTAAACCCTGTGATTATATTGATTTATGACTATAGATATTTTTTAATACATTAATTTTCTATTCTGATTTATATATATATATATATAATATAAATTTCAATCTGTTATATATTCTGTTATATATATACCTAGGTATATTTAACCCCCCCTTCACTTTCACGGGCCGGTGAATCGGGAAAACCCTAATAGGTCGGCGGCCTTACGTCATATGTTACGGCTTCCCGGTCAAAGGAAAATGAGGAAAATGGGATAATAATGATGTTGGTGGCTACAGAGGATACAATATATATATATATATACAAGGTGTATATATGTATATATACATATAAAGCAGACATTTGAACCTAAACATACATGTCTTTCCCTCTGATCAGGAGATCACGGACTACCTTATTAGTCTTATCCGAAGAAGTACCTCAGAGACCCCATCAATCTTGTAGCTAGCAAGGACCCCTTTATACCCCCTTGTTCGCCGTGCAGAATCTTGAATATCAACGTCACAAATCCCGATCTGCGTGGTCACAGCTCTCAAGTCAGGTTTCACGTAGTCCCGTGGGAGTGACGAAATGGCAAGGATTAGTCATTTGGGTTTCATTGGTGGCGCAGCGCCTCCTAAAAAGACCAGGGGGGGGATGAAGTTTGGGGATGGCTTTGAGGAACCAATCATGGAGGATTAATGGAGAATCCCAAAGATTCCTATATGTCGGATACTACACGGGCTAATTGCTTGTGACCTCCCCAAGACCGAGCCTTGGAAGCCTTGGGAGTTGGTCAATGATAACCTTGTAATCAGCCAAGGAGGGACCAGCCACAACCGGGAGATCTGTGCCTGGCGTATTTCCTCCCCCCTCCTTTTTCCACGGGAGAAGTCCAATTCAACTTTTTGAGCCTTGGAACACTTGACCTTCGTTGTTCGCCTGCATCATATCTCTGGGAATTTGGTGGGGTAAACTTGCTCGAGTTTGGGGATTCTTCCCAAAGAAGTAACTAAAAGGGAAGATCTCGGGTCCGTCTGGGTAATTTTCGCGGGGAATGCAGAATGATGGGAGGGCCTAAGCATGATGATGTTCTGGGCCCCAAACCCTTCTGACCAATGTCATCACACCCAAAATTGATCGTCGTTATGGGCGGCTAGTTGAAAGAAATGGCGAAAATACCTGGGGAATTCGAGAAGAACTAGGCAAGGACCAGCAAAGTAGGAGCATCTGAGCAAAATTCAATTCTCAAATCCCTTTTGACTTCCCGAGTAATATGCACTGCAGACCAATAATGCCTCATAGCAGATATTGACCCCAGCTTGGCCTCGGGCTGCTTTCATTTCAGCCGTTACTAGTCCAGATTGGGGTATGAAGTACATACAACATACGCCTTGACGATTTTGATGTGACAAATTCCATTACTGCACGTGAGCATATATGTCACCTACGTACTTGATTTCCTCTGCCACTTCTTGGCTTTCCCTTTCCGTTTTAGTGCTCAGGCCTTGCCGCTTTTTGCTCACTGAGTAGATCTGAGCACGCCCCTGAGCGCTCTGATCCGCTCACTAAGCATGCTCTGATCGTCTCTGAGCGCTCTGATCCGCTCACTGAGTCTGAGCTGAGCCCAGGGGTGAGCGGCCTGAGTAAGCTGCATCAATAAAATGTAATGTCAAAGTGCAAGGTTGCATACAATGGATTTACATGGTATTATACCATGGAGATCATGTGACTTCGAGTACTGGATATACCATATATTACGATTAGTCATCATTACCGCACACATTGTTGAAATAGCGGGTTTTGTCATTTTAGAAAAACAGAGAGTTCTCAATATCAGCCGTGGTGCCTATACAATTTAATATATCAGATTTCTGTTAGTTATGAGCCCGGAATCGTTCTAATAAAGATTAAATCGAAGATCAATCCTACTATCGCCGATACTAAGGTAGTTAAAGTGATAGAAGAGAAGTCATCTACCTAGCGACGAAGCAACCCCTAAATCGAAGAAAAATCGGAAATCTATCTATAATAAATCATAGCCGAATATAGACTTCGGCAGAACCACTCCGACCCAAAGCCCAACCCATTGGGTTTTGGGTTCCGCCCTCTATAACCCAACCTAACCCAAAACCCAATGGGTTAGACCCAATAACCCAATAATAACCCATTTGAACCCATTTTTGCATAAAACATAGGTCTTGGCGTTCATAATGATGCTAAGTCATTAAACAAAATAACTGTTTTTTACAACTGTTCTGGTTTGTCTAACGAACATTGCTATATTATCACAGTTCTAAGTTAGAAATTTTATATAATTCCTCTGAATTTAAAGCCAATAGACTTTATATTATATTTATTACCTATAAAAATTGAGATTAATCATATTGTAGTAATGTTCTATTAACCTAAGTATTTGTTAACTATTATAACTACTATTAGAAATATATATTTGTGGTAGAGGTAAGTACATATATATTAGAATATAAATATAAATATAAGTAGAAATATCTTATTCCTATTTTATTTTCTATACAATTAATACTATATTAAAGCTAAACAACTCTTTTCTTATATTATTATTTAATATATTTAGTAATTAATATAGTATACGCATTAGGGTGGTTTATAAACTATCTCTATACTCTTATATTGTAAGAATATACTGTTTCAGGTGTAAGGCCTGTCAACCGGGTAAGATACGTTGGCTTGGGAGGAGGAACAAAGGTGTATTGGGCTATGTGTGCCAAGACTAATTCTTGCCAGAATTCAGGGGTCCCGGGGGACCCAAGATTAAAAGGAAATATGCGTGCTAAGGCTTAGCACCGATCGGGTGACGAACCCCGTACGATTTATATACGTATCAAAACTTCTATAAATATATATATCGCCTAAGTTCCTATTTTACCTTTAAAAGGACCTTTATCCTTTATAATTATTCTCCCTTCTCCTACGAGGATATCTATATCCGAAAATAGATTATAGCTATAAAGTATCGGGGAGATATCGGTAGTACTCTATAATAAAGGAGCTATAATTAGAATAGTTCTAAATCTTTATCTAATTTTACTATATCTTTATAGTATTAGGGCTATATAGCTATAGATATATTTATAGTAGAGAACCCTAATTTCCTAACTATCCTCGATATTTAGTATCGATTTTATTATACCCGCTATTCGTAGAAATCGAATCTATTTAAAAAATATATAGTATATAAGCTATCTTCGCTCGATAATTATTTATTTTACCCCCGGAATAAGCGCGGTTCTATTTTCTATCTAGTATTTCTTATATAAGGCTAACTCTAAAAAATACTAGTAATATAATTAACGGAAATCGATATATAAACCTCCGTTAGAGGGAATATAGGGAGATCGCGTTAAATTAATCGCGATTCTAGAGTAGATAGCCTAGTACTAGTTACCTATAAATAAATATTATATATAAGATATAGTATATCTCTAGAAGATAGATAAAGAGGTTATTAATTTAGTAAAAGACTTCGATACTATCTATAAAGCGTATAAGTCCGATTATAGGTTTTTAGATAAAGACCGGAAGGATTCTATAAAGACCGAGATAGGTTCTTAGAAATTATATATCCTAGTAGTAATTCGCTAACGACCTATTTTAGTATTATAGCTATCTCGCTAGTCGCTATATAATATACCTAAACCCTATCCTATACTCTCTTATTTCTTCGATAAAAGAATAGTAAAAATAGTTCTATACTAAAGCGGGGTAGTGTCTCTAGATAAGAGATAATAGTTTTATTATTTAAATCTAAGATAAATATAATCTTTTAATAGTAATCTAAAATATATATATTAGATACTTCGATCCTATAGTACTAGGCGTTATTCTAAGGGACTTAGTAAAGAATCTAGTAGATTCTTTTCCTATTCTATTTTTTAAATTATAGGCGAGAAGATTATATATTAATATTATTTTAGATTTTAGTTTTTAGTTTTTAGTAGGTAGTAGATAGAAATAGAAGATATAATTTATATTCCTAGATTTAATCTATAGTTTCCTATTTTATATAGAATCCGATCTAGACCCTATTATATTAATAATCTTTAATTTATTTTTTTTTTATAACTCTCTATCTTCTTACTCTTTTAGATTTACGTTTTACTACTTCTTTATTATTATTTTATAGATTAATTATAACTATATCTCCTATTTATTATTCGCTATATAAACTATACTCTCTAATTTTATACTAATATACCTAGTATATAATATACCTACGCGTTTCTATACGCGAGTAGATAGATACTAATTTGATATCTCTTCGACTTTTTATTATCTACTACTTCGCTAAAATATATAATAAGAAGAATTATTAATACTATAATAGATTATATAAGCCTTATAAGATAGTAAGTATTCTAGACTACTCCGATAAAGATTTAATACTAAATCGTACTAATTTTATTTAGGTCCTTAAGGATATTAAAGGGAACTACTATAAACTTTCGGCGTACTTATTATAGATTTAGGACTTTTAGACGAACTCTAATAATAGCTTTAGCGAAGACGCTAAGCCTAATATTAATAATTAAAATACCGCGATTATATTATAGCTACCTTATAAGCTAATCGTTAGCGTTATAATATACGTTCGGTATCTTATCGCGAGCTTTAATAATTTTATAAAGTTTTATTATTATACCTACTCTCTCTCTAGTACTCGTATACCTTAGATAAAGTATTTTTTTTTATATCTTCGGGATTTTATTCTAACCTATTCTTAAGCTACTAAAGACGCTTATTCCTAGTAGAT